TTGTCTGGAATTCTACTTCAATACCATATCTGTAGTTAAGCTTTTGCCACTTGATGCCCGCCAGCAGTACTTTTACTGAGGACAGGCGGCAGCTACAGGCAAAGTGACGTATGGATACATCACTCTGGCTGTGCTTACACAGGAGGGGGCGCTTACACCCCCGCTGCAACCACTGTGTCGGACACAGTGGAATTTCGGATCCTTGTAAATAGGACCCGATGATCATGTGATCCCTATGCAATCAATCTGATTCATAACAGCTCTGCTTCCTTTCCAAGTGAGCTGTGATTGGCCCACAGCTCTCACATGGTACATGGGCCAATCACAGCACCTTGTACCATGTAATCAGCTGTAGCCAATCACAGATCACTAATATTTTGAACTGTCATGAACTTAACCCATTCATGACAACTCAAAGCAAGCATTGCATTGCAGGTGCAATAATCTTTATTGCTTCTGCAAATCAAAGTGTAAAAAATGTGTGTAAAAGATGTGGTAACCCCATACTTGGGAAAAGTAGCAGAATGTGTTTTGGGGTGTTATTCCACATATTCCCATGGCATGTGTGAGCAATTAAGCAACTTTGTGCAAAAAAACAAAAATTGTAATTTTCCAAAGATTTGTGGCAAAAAATAAAATCTTCCATATACTCAACATGCCAATTTCTTGGGTGTCTACTTTCGAAAAAGGGGTCATGGGGGATCCCTGGCATTTTAGCACCTCAAGAAATGTGAAAGGCAGTCAGAAAGTAAAAGCAGTATAATTTCCAATATACTGTATATACCATAGTTTTTTAAACGCTTTACCTTTCACACAAACCAATTAATATACATGTATTGTGATTTTTTCTTTTTACCAAAGACATGCAGCGGAATACATTTTGGTCTAAATATATGACTAAATGTGAGTTTATTGGATATTTTTTACAACAGGAAAATGTTTTTTTTTTTTTTCTTAATTTTCGGTATTTTTCGTTTATATCACAAAACATAAAAATCCCAGTGGTGATCAAACACCACCAAAAGAAAGCTCTATTTGTGTGAAAATTTTGTTTGGGTACAGCGCTGCATGAACGCACAAATACCAGTTGAAATGGCTAAGTGCCGAATAGCAACAAATGGCCTGAAAAAGGGGAAAAACCTTCCGGAGACTGAAGTGGTTAACACACTTACCTACCGCTTATCTCCATTATCTAGTTTGCAACTCAATGAGATATGCTGAAACTGTACAAACAGGGTTAATTAGCATAAACATTACATTGCAGATGAAAACCGGTCTTGGAGTTTTCAGAAATAAATAACTAAAAATCTAAGCAATGGGTTTTTTTTTCATTTATACTGTGTGAATGAGAACAGGTAACAAATATAAAGTAGGTGTTATGCTAATTTGCCTGTAAAAGTGGAAGTACACTTCAGGCCTACTATTAGCTATCAAAATATCTTCTGTTCCCTTCCTTGTTGCCTGAAACGTAATAGGCTGACAGCCTACTGCAATGCAGGAGATCCTTCTGTCTTACAGGGAGCTCTTGATCTCATTATATCTGAAAGGGATTCTTGATTCATTTTATACAACTCAAGCTAGTATATAATAGCAGTACAGCACGTTTGATGAGCAAATAACTTGACTTTATATGTTTCCCTTGTGGTTTCAGGACACAATATGATGAAACTGTAACAAGTGCAGAATACTGGGTCTGTGTGTATCTGTATGGGATACTTCATACATGTTGGTGAGGATGGGTGCAGGTCACACACCCAGTATGTTCACACAGCTTCCCACTTTAGGTGATACTGAGCATACACTGTTTCATTTACATTGTCCCTTCTATTTCTGTATGTGGATGACGGCTCTGTAATTATTTTAATTAACCACTTCCAGTCCGGAACACTTTCACCCATTCCTGTCTAGGCCAATTTTCAGCTTTCAGCGCTATCACACTTTGAATGACAATTGCGCAGTCATGCAACACTGTACCCATATGAATTTGTTTGCATTTTTTGAGACAGATAAAACTTTATTTTGGTGGTATTTATTCACCACTGGGATTTTTATTTTTTTGCTATATAAGTGAAAAAGTTCAAACATTTTGAAAAAAAAGTGTTTTTCTTATAAAATTTTGCAAATAAATAATCTTTCTTCATAAATCTTGGCCAAAATGTATTCATCTATCTTTTTAGTAAAAAAACAATAACCCAAATTAGTTTATAACCAAAAATTCATAATTTTTTCAAAAACATTTTTTTACATTTTTATTTTATTTTTTTTTATATTGTTATTTATGTTGGGTTTTTTGTTTGTTTTTTTTCTTAACATAGTGTCACCCTAGAAGTACAGTGTTACCATAGTGACACTGTACTACTTGTGGGGGGTGATAAAGATTTTCTTTTTTTTTTTTACACTGATTGCTTTTACACCCATAAAGGCTGTAAAAGCAATCATCTCTCCTTCTCTCTGACGGCATTCTTGCAGCCATTGAGAAATACTGTGTGAGCTGTGATTGGTCACAGCTTGTCACATGGTACAAGGCTGTTGTGAATAGCCTTGTATCATGTGATCATTTGCAGATTTCACACGTAGTAAGCAATGATGTCAGAAGTGACATCTTGTTTACACCTATTCATGTGATCACTGATTGGCCATTCTTGCAGCCATTGAGAAATTCTGTGAGAGTTGTGATTGGTCACATGGTACAAGGCTGTTGTGAATAGCCTTGTACCATGTGACCTCTGTGATCATTCACAGATTTCACAAGTAGTAAGCAATGATGTCAGGAAGTCACAACTTGCTTACTACTCTGCATGTGATCACTGATTGGCCAATCAGTGATCACATGATCAGGACCTCACACAGAGGTCCCGTACAGCGATCTCCGGGCACCGGAGCGCGCACAGGCAAGGAATGCGGAGGCCTTTTATAAAGTCCTACCCGCTCCTGCACTGCTCCTGTCTGGTCGTCTGGTCTGAGAAGTGGTTAAAAATACATTTACCAGTAAATACTTTTTTCCTGATCAATATACAGCTGTCATATGACACAGCTCTATCCCAGCCCGTCTGCAGGGAAACAGTGGTCAGAGGAGCCTCTAGTCCTCTGCTGCTAGCCACATGTTCAAAACTAAAAAAAAAACAGCATTTGGAGTACTAAGTAAAATAAATAAATAATAATATTAATAAACGTTTTTAACTTGGCATACAAATATATATTTGAAATCAAATCTTTACTATTTTGTGGAAATAACATGGTGTGGGCGGATTTCTGCCAATTACAGTCTCTTGGCCCTTGAGCCTGTGTCTTGGCATAAGAGGGAGGTGCAGCTTCCATCAATCTACCTATAATATCCCACCCCCCCATTGTGTTTAGCTGGTTAGTGGGCATGGAGAAGGAGGGAGGGAGCTGTCATTTACCACTGTGTATTCACCCACATGTGTGACTCTTTAGTAATATGGGCCGCTCGATGTGATAGGGAGGAAATGCTCAGCATAGAAACGCACTGAAAACTGAGCATGTGCAGAGTTGCTTCTATAGCTGCAAAACCCCCAGCTGAATTTGGGGCATTAACAGAAGGTGAAGATACAGCAGGATCAACCAGGTTTTTTGCAGAATACCGAAAACAAATCCCATAGTGACTGAGCGAGTATGAACAGCATGTAATACAGCATTTAGTGATAATTTTTTATGATGTTGGTTTAGGGACACTTTAAAGGCTTAGTTCACCTTTAACAAGCACTACCAATGCAGGTAAAGTAATGCCCGTAGCGTAAAAGAAAGAAAAGAAGTAGCGCAGGGCAGGCATGACTAGGCCTAGAGTGGGAAGGAAGACTAGAAAGGGTAAGTTAGTGCCAGGGGGTTTGAAAATATAGCAGGGGAGCTGGTTGGTAGAGGGAGAGCGTGGGTGGGCTCTTTGGCACCTTTGGGTGGGGTGTCCTGGGTGGGAGGCAGTCAGTCGGAGCTGGACGTTGGTGAGTGAGCTTCCCTCCCGCCCTCCCTATTTAGTGAGTATTGGGTTCCTCTAAGGGGAATGGGGGTTATGCGGTTCATGGGCGGTTGTTTGGTCTTTGGAGGCGGGTATTATCTTGGAGGTACAGAGAATGGTGTGGGACCCATCGGTGGTATGGTGTGCCCGGGGACATTCCAGTTAACTGAGGTTTAACTGGAAGGTGGTGGTGCTGCACTGAGGACGATAAGGTTGTCTCCGAGCTGGTTGGTTGCGGCTGGAGGCCTGGTGTTATATGGGGTCCGCAGGTGCATTTCAGATCATTTTTGGGTGGTGCCTTCGAAGACCAACAACAAATCTGTATGTTTTTCTGTTATAAGGAATGGTTGTTGTTAAAAACGTGTTTGTTAATAAAAGGCAGCGTTAGCCATTTTACTCCAAATTGGTGTCATGTTTTTCTTTAAGTAGAAGTTAAAGGGGGGGGATCTGGATGAACCGATCTCTGGTGCACTAGTCATGGGCAACTGTAGATAAAGACAAACTGTGCAGCTTTGACTAAAGTTAAAATATTCTTCTTATAGCTGTAGGCCATTTACGTACCTGCTGAAGCCTGGCTGAAAAACTCCCAGAGATGGCATCATCCTGTCCTGCCTTGTTGCTAGGATGTTGCTAAGACACTCCCAGACAATTCAAACCCCCTTGCATATGTTGTATCTCCCCTGTCTCAGTAATTCTGAGCTCAGCTTTGCTGTGACAAAGCAGATAGTGGACCTTACACGTATGGGGTTTGGAGAGCTAGCTCCTGTAATGGTGGGAGTGAGCAGTAACAGCTGGGAGTGTCTTAGCAATGTCCTACTAACACGGCAGGAGGAGCTGATGCCATATCTGTAAGTTATTCAGCTAGATTTTGGGAGGTGCATGAATGGCCTACACCTATACCAAGGGCATTATCCAACTTAGGTCAAAGTTGTACTTACCATTTAAGAAACCATGCCTAGTGCCTATGTGACTATGAATCTGTAATAATATAAAGAAAATTTACCATCAATTTCGAAATTCTCATTTCAAGGTTTACAAAGAAGATCTACCTCAGCTCAAGCAGCAAAATAAAGAGAAACAAAATCCTTTGCCTTCCCTTAAGCGGGAAAAAGCCCCAGAAGAAAGCCTGAAATTAAAGTTTGTACATGGGTAAGTTTTTACTGAATCCACAGATTTTAGTGACACTTTCTTGATGTAACAGTTGTTGTTCAGCTTTGGAGTGATCTGAATACAGGTTCAAGCGGTTCAAAACTGAAATCCATTCTAGATCTGCACTCCAGGCAAGCAATTAAATATACACAGTATATAAGAAGTATCTTAATTAACAAAAAAATCTATAATTCTGTCCATCCAGTCTCCACAGCCAAATATTTAATCCTCCACTACAGCAACAGCACAGCTTTGTCAAGAACACCCTTCAGCCTGCCTATCAGACATCACCGTGCTTACTCTGCTCTCTCCTCCTGTCACCGTATTCCTTGGCACATGTGAATTCAGTAGAGTTTTGTTGGCTCCTAGTACTAACCATCCCTCTCCACTGCAGAATTAAGGCATTGGCAGCCACTTCAAGCGGCTCACAGGCACAATGTACAGAGCCAATATAAGCGGCTCCATACCTTGTGATGACCAGTCACAGAGATCACAAATGTAAATACTATAATGTTTGCATTTGAGAGCCCTCTACTTCTCACGATGGAGGAGATGAGACAGTGAATATTTAGCAATGAAGGTTTGTGAATGAAGGGAGCACCAACAACCGATGATTCGTTACTATGAGGTACCGCGTCCTCTCCACTATGAAGAACAGTTAGCAACACAGTAGTGATATCACAAAGTCTGCTCCATCAATCATAGGCACAGTGCTATAGATATGCAGCTATTAGACTCAGTGGGAACCCTTGAAATAACTTTCAGGTCTCAGGTAAACCCTTACATTAATTACTCTTGTTTACAACTCGTGGTACATTAGAGTGGTGGTCAGTCAGTGGGAAGAATGCCTTCTACATTAGTAGTCAGTGGAAAGAATGACCTGCTTACAGATAGGTAAAATGATCATTGGTGTCAGTGGTTACTCTCCTGGGAATCAGAAGTTGCTCATTGCTCAAGGAACCCCTAACAACATCTGCAGAAACCCTGGTTGAGGCTGGTCTAGGCACGAGAAGTGCACTCCTAATTTTCTGAGATTTAAGTTTTCCAGGTATTGTTTAAAGTAGACCTTCACCTAAAAATCCGCCTCATCTCCTTTTCTCGAACATATTAGAAAGCTTTTTTTTTTGCTAGGGGATGATGGTGTATAGTGAGTACCTTTTTCTGAGAGGTAACCGCTCCCATTTCTGTAACTACCACCTAAGCAAGAATTACAGAAGTATGTCCCGAAACATTCTGGGACTTGTCACATGTCCCAGGAGCCTGCGGGATCAGTCTGACAGTGCATCGCAATCTTGCACATGTACAGTAGTATTGAAGCACAGCCACCTAAAATGGTGGTATATAAAGAAACAAACAGAGGGCACACAGGCCTAGTGCATTACCTTCTAAAAATGGAATTTATTGTATAAAAAGTAATATACTCACAAAGGAATTAAAATCAAAGGCACATCACAAGAATAACAGCATGGTCCAATCTCCCTGAATGGTATCTAGTAGTGGACTGTAGACCTCCAACTTGGCTCTGAGGAAGAGGTATAGCCTCGAAACACATCAGCCATTTGGAGGACTACAGTCCCTGACTAGATACCATTCAGGGAGACTGGACCATGCTGTTATTCTTGTGATGTGCCTTTAATTTTAATTCCTTTGTGAGTATATTACTTTTTCTACAATAAATTCCATTTTTAGAAGATAATGCATTAGGCCTATGTACCCTCTGTTTGTTTCTTTATATACAGTTCCTTTGGATTTCCCTGGTCTGTTGGGGGCAGCAAGGCTTGCATTCCTTATAGCACTCCATGTGGGGTCACTGACATTGTGGAATCCATCGTCCAGCGCAGAAGTTACAGCATTCGTTTGCTTCTTTCTTCATACCTAAAATGGCGGTGCTGGAGATCTGAAGACCTGCAAACAAAACAGCACTGATGAAGACAGTGCTGGACACCTGGACTGGTGAGGGGCTGTTTCTTAAAGTGGTAGTAAATGTCGTAATGTGCTAGTATGCACTGGCCACGGTACAGCTCTCTCAATGGATGGCATGCCGTCCATTGAGAGTGCAGTGCCCATGCTCCAGTGACACCAGCTGCTATAGATATATACAGTTGCAAGAAAAAGTATGTGAACCCCTTGGGATTACGTGGAGTTTTGCATGAATTGGGCATAAAATGTGTTCTGAACGTCATCTAAGTCACAACAATAGAAGAACACAGTCTGCTAAACATAATACTACACAAACATTAGATGTTGCCATGGTTTAATTGCACATAACATGTAAACATTCACAGTGCAGGGAGGAAAAAGTATGTGAGGCCCTAGCTTAATGACTTCTCCCAGGGCTAGTTGGAGCCAGGAGTGAGCCAACCTTGACTCCAATCAGTGTGATGATATTGGATGTGTTGCTGACAGCTGTCCTGCCCTTAAAAAACACACACCTGTTTTGGGTTTACTGGTTTCAAGAAGCACTGTCTGATGTGAACCATGCCTCGCAGAAAAGAGCTCTCAGAAGACCTACAATCAAGAATTGTTGACTTGCATGAAGCTGGAAAGGGTTACAAAAGTATCTCCAAAAGCTTTGATGTTCATGTGTCCACGGTAAGACAGATTGTCTACAAATGGAGAAAGTTTAGCACTGTTGCTACTCTCCCTAGGCGTGGTCGTCCTGTAAAAATGACTGCAAGAGCACAGCGCAGAATGCTGCATGAGGTAAAGAAGAATCCTAGAGTGTCAGCTAAAGACCTACAGAAATCTCTGGCACATGCTAACATTTTTGTTGACACATCTACAATAAGGAAAACATTAAACAAGAATGGAGTACATGGGAGGACACCACGGAGGAAGCCATTGCTGTCCAAAAAGAATATTGCAGCACGTTTGAAGTTTGCAAAAGAGCACCTGGATGTTCCACAGCACTACTGGCAAAATATACTGTGGACAGATGAAACCAAGATTGAGTTGTTTGGGAAGAACACACAACACTATGTGTGGAGAAAAAAAGGCACAGCACACCAACATCAAAACCTCATCCCCACTGTAAAACATGGCGGAGGGAGGATCATGGTTTGGGGCTGCTTTGCTGCCTCAGGGCCTGGACGGATTGTTGTCATTGATGGGAAAATGAATTCCAGAGTTTATCAAGACATTTTGCAGGAAAACGTACGACCATCTGTCCGCCAACTGAAGCTCCCCAGAGGATGGGTGATGCAACAGGACAATGACCCAAAGCATACAAGTAATTCAACAAAACAATGGCTGCAACAGCACAGAATACGCCTTCTGGAGTGGCCCAGTCAGAGTCCTGACCTCAACCCGATTGAAATGCTGTGGCATGACCTTAAGAGAGCGATTCACACCAGACATCCCAAGAATATTGCTACACTGAAACAGTTTTGTGAAGAGGAGTGGTCCAAAATTACCCCAGATCGTTGTGCAGGTCTGATCTGCAACTACAGGAAACGTTTGGTTGAGGTTATTGCTGCCAAAGGAGGGTCAACCAGTTATTAAGTCCAAAGGTTCACATACTTTTTCCTCCCTGCACTGTGAATGTTTACATGTTATGTGCAATTAAACCATGGCAACATCTAATGTTTGTGTAGTATTATGTTCAGCAAACTGTGTTCTTCTATTGTTGTGACTTAGATGACGTTCAGAGCACATTTTATGCCCAATTCATGCAAAACTCCACGTAATCCCAAGAGGTTCACATACTTTTTCTTGCAACTATATATATATATATATATATATATATATATATATATATCCTAAATGATGCATGTTTTAGAAGATATTTATGCTTACCTGTAGGAACAAGATAAAAAGCGCAGTTTACTACCACTTTAAAACTCAGCAGCTACAGTATTTGTAATTTTTTTTAAAAACGACTGAAGTTCCTCTTTAAGCACAGTTGACATTTTCAGATTTTCTTTTAAATAGCACACCTTCACTTTCTGAGACTTTCACAAGGGCACATTAACAGAAATTTAATTGACATTTCTCACAAAACATATGCCTAGAAAAATTCATCTTTTATTCAGGCTGTAATAATTATTAGGAGTACCGTTTTGTATTTTTGATGGGTCTGCTGTAAGCCTTAGCCCTCACTCTGATCACGACCAAGTCCTTTTAATTCTGTCATTTCAGTAATTGCTTTGCTTTCCTGGAATTTTTTCCACACGCTTCAGTTTTAATTCACGTTACTGTCATCCATTTACACAGCAGCTAAGGGCTTTTCTATCAAATGATCCTCGGAACATATTTAACCAGCCCATTGCGAATAAGATCCCCCTAATCCACTATCATATCATCCTAATTATCATATCATCCAAGACAGAAGGGACAGAAATATAGCATTGTAAAATAAAGGGTCAAATACAGTTGTCAATGTCAAATGTTGACTTCAGATGACATGCATTCATTGGTGCCTGTGTAAAACGTGGGGACCGAACAAAATACTTGTTAAGATAATCGATTGCATTACGATATGGTCTTTCAGGTTTTTCTACAGTGCTTGAGTATTTTACAATGAAATACAGGCGTACCTCAGTTTACGAACTTAATTCGTTCCGCAGGACTTTTTTTATTGCGAAAAATTTGTAACCCGAAACGCGGTTTCCCATAGGAATGCATTGAAAACCAATTAATCCGTTCCGGAGATCAGAAAAAAGTAAAAAAAGAGTCTTTTATCTGTTTATTTATTTATTTATCTCAGGTACTTATATAGCGCCGTCAATTTACGCAGCTCTTTACATATATATTGTACATTCACATCAGTCCCTAACCCTCAAGGGGTGTACAATCTAAGGTCCCTAACTCACATTTATACATACACATACTAGGGACAATTTAGACAGGAGCCAATTAACCTACCAGCATGTCGTTGGGGTGTGGGAGGAAACCGGAGTACCTGGAGGAAAGCCACACAGGCACAGGGAGAACATGCAAACTCCAGGCAGGAGGTGCCGTGGCTGGGATTCGAACCAACGACCCGAGGACTGCCAGGAGGAAGTGCTGTTCAAAACTATTTCTAAAGTGCACTTTAAAGGCATAAATACTGTACAGGGGCATGATTAAAAATTAATTCGTAAATGCATTAAAAACCAATTAATCCGTTCCAGAGGTCAGACAAAAGTCAAAAAAAGACTTATCTGTTCAAAACTCTTTATAAAGTGCACTTTAAGGGCATATTACTGTACAGGGGCATGATTACAAAAAAAATTTGTAAATGCATTGAAAACCAATTAATCCGTTTGTATTGCGAAAAAAAAAATTGTAAATCGAGCCATTATTTTCAATGGATTTTCATTCTCAAACCAAAAATGACTTTAACCAAGGTGTTCGTAAACCGAGGTATGCCAGTATTTGTGTTTGTGAACTTAAAAAATGAACGAGACTTAAAGTGGAACTTCACTCTCTCAATCAGCACTGATTTTTAATCCTTATGCTGCTAGCATTTGTAAATGGATGGAAAGTATGTCAAATTTACTTGTTTTACATTTCTTCAGTTACTTCCTGGTTTCCATGCCTAGGCAAATGATGGCATACATCCCAGGATCAAAGGAAAGTCCAGGAGGCTACACTATTATTATTATTATTATTTTACAGGATTTGCTCAGCGCTTTACAATATAATGGGAGACAGTACACGAGACAGCACAGTAACAATACAATTCAATACACGAGGGGTTTGAGGGCCCTGCTCCTTGGAGCTTACAATCTAGGAGGGAGGGGATAGTGGTACAGGAGGAAATAGCTGTGGGGGATGGAGTGGTAGGAAGAGTGGGGGAGATCGGGGTGAGGGCGGGGTAGGCTTCCCTGAAGAGACGGGTTTTCAGGGTGCGCCTAAAGATGAGGAGAGTAGGTGAGAGTCAGATAGATTGGGGTAGGGAGTTCCAGAGGATGGGGGAAGCCCTGGAGAAGTCCTGGAGATGGGCATGGGAGGAGGAGACCAGGGAACTAGAGAGTAGGAGGCCTTGTGAGGAGCGGAGAGTACGTTTTGGGTGGTATTTGGATACCAGATCGTTGATGTAGTTTGGGGCAGTATTATGAACAGCTTTGTACGTCAATGTTAGCATTTTGAATTTTATCACTAAACACATATCCTCTTTATTGTATAGAAAAGCAGCTTAAAAACACCATACTTGTATGCCAGTAGGGGAAATAAAGGTACACGCATATGCGCTAACCACAGCACTAAGGTTAGCTCGATGAGCGTGTACCATTTTTCCCCTACTGGCATGCAGTGTGGTGTTTTTAAGCTGCTTTTCTATACAATAAAGTGGATATGTGCTTTTGTGCGGCCTCCTGGACTTTCCTTTGATCTTCAGCACAGGTGTGCGAACTGGGCCAGCACACATGCTGAAGGGTTGTGGAGTTGGGAAGTGATGAGCCTACCTGGAGCAGCGCTACCTTCTCTTTCATACATCCCAGGAGCAGGGGCGGACTGACAACTCATGGGGCCCCCGGGCAATAGGGGATCATGGGGCCCCTGTGTCCTTGCCCAAACTCAAAAATGCCTATAAAACAGGTACCAGGGGCATTTCATGGGGCCCACTACTGACCCCAGGCCCTCGGGCAGTGCCCGAGTGTTCGAATGGTCAGTCTACACCTGCCCAGGAGTATTCAGGAGGGGAGGGAGTATTGTATATGGAGGAGGCTATGGAAAGGAAATTTTCCCTGGGAATTGGAGGATAGTATTGTATCCATAAAGTGCAATTTATTCTTATCTCTGGTGAGTGCGGAATACATCAGTATTCACAGGAAGGTGTGGAGTCTTTTCTCTGTATTACACTTATCCTAAAAAATTTTTGGAGCACTATTTGTATGTCTAAAGGGGACTTTCTTTGTTTTTGGTTTCATCACTTTTTGTATTTGGATACAAATTTTATATCTTTTTCATTTTAGTGGTTTTGGACATTTATTTTATAACCACAGAATTTAATATGATTTGTTTATAATTATTTTTTGATTACTTTCATGATTTGCGCTGTTTTATTGTTTCACTGATTTTTTTTTATTTTTAATCAATCTTTTTGATTCTTATGAAGGCACAGCAACATTCACTTTCAAATTTTTCACATAGTTCTTGTGGCTCAGGTTGTTTTTGTTTTAGTGTTCTCAGCTCAGCTAATCCCTGAGCTAAGGGCAGATGGATTCCAGGAAGTAAATGCTACCTGAATCATCTGCCCTTACTCAAGATGGCCACTGCCAGAAATGCCAGGGGGTGTTTTTCAAAATGATTTCTCCCCAAAATAAAGCATGGAGACATAGATGGATGGAGGAGTTTGCTTTGAATATTAACAATGAGGTGCTCAGATGCAGTGCAGTTCCACTTTAATGAAGTAGATGGCTTTTAGGCTGGTATATCCTCTTGGCTGTGCTGTGTGATGGAGCCGTGTAAATCTCAGGACTGAATGAACAAATGCAAATCCTTCGGCAAGTAAAGCAGCTCCTATATTTTGTGTGTGTGTGTTTTTATTGTGCATTTAGATGTTTACCTGAAATTTAGCTTTTTGTATTGTTTTACTAAAGAGAGATAATCACTCAATATTAGTAGACATCAGACAATAAATAGTTAGGAATCAAAATTATACAGTGTTTTATTGATTTATATTTCTCTAATGAATTTTGTTTTTCTGTCTGTCTTGGCATCTCTTGCAGTTACAGAGGCTATGACTGTAGGAACAACCTGTTCTACACCCAGACAGGAGAGGTGGTCTATCATGTAGCAGCCGTGGCTGTAGTTTATAATAGGCTGCAACACTCCCAGAGACTCTACCTGGGACACGACGATGACATTCTCAGTCTGGCCATTCACCCAGTGAAAGATTACGTAGCAACTGGTCAGGTAAGGTGGTCCTCTGCTTTGTTATATGGTGGGCTTTGGATTTTATCTAGAAATATTACTGTTAAAAGGACTACCTTGTTTATTAACTGAGCATTCATGTACATTCACCCTAGGTTCACATCTGTGCGTGTGGTGCCGTGCGGATCAGCACGACAATCCGTGCAGCCGCACCACCCATACAGAGAAATGTGGTCCCGCTGGCAGGTGCCATTAATTCTAATGGCACGCTGCCCGCTCTGGAAAACGCAACCGTACTGGGAACTGAGGTTCCGTGAGGGCTGCGTTTTCCAAAGAAGTGCAGGGACTTCTTCCCTGTGTGTCACAGGCAAGGGAGTCCATTCAAATGAATGGGCTCTCGTGCCCGTGCAAAACACGGCCCGCATGGCCGCATATATGTGAACCGGGGGTCAGAGCTAAACTCTTTAACAGAAACATTGGTGGCAGGTAGGCTACCTAACTCTACTGCAATAAAGCTGCTCTTCTGCCTGCCAGCAAAGTTTCTTCCGGAAGTACACTGAGCCGCACATGCAGGGGCGTATTTACCGCAAGGGAAACAAGGCACTTGCCTAGGGCTGCATTTTTCAGGGGAGCAGCAGCTCCCCCCAGAAAAAGGGATGAAAGAAAGGACACGCACACCATGGGAACCAGGTGGGATCCAACAGGCTGCGGGCTGCTTAATGGTGTATGTAGAGCCTGACTCACGTTCCCGGGGACGTCTGGAGCTGTGAAGATGAGTGTCTCTCTATCGCCGGGAAGGGGGGTAGCGGAAGGCCCTCCAAGGTGGGGGGGGCAGGGGTGTTGTTGGTCAATGTTAGGCTCTCTCCGTGGGAGGGGGAAGGGGGGGGGGGGGTTGTGCTGGTCGGGCAGTGCCGGCTGTCACGCTGACAGCTCGAGAGGAGAGCTGGTAATCAGCATTCTGCGGAGGGGACATGCACACTGATCATCAGGGCACCCCAGAAGTGCCACCTGTCAGTGTCCATCAGTGCCAGCTGTCAGTGCTGAACAGTGCGACATGCCAATGCCCATCAGTGCCACACCTATGCCACATATCAGTGCCTACCAGTGCTCATCATTGCCACATATCAGTGCCCATCTGAGCTGCCTTTCAGTGTCACCCATCAGTACCAGTCAGTGCCACCTATCAATGCCAATCAGTGTCCACCTATCAGTTTTGCCAATCAGTGCCACATATCAGTGCCAGTCAGTGCCGCCTATCAGTGCCAGTCAGTGCCGCCTATCAGTGTGCATCAGTTCCACCTATCATTGCCCGGCAGTGCTGCCTATCAGTGCCACCTAATAGTGCCAGTCAGTACCACCTAATAGTGCCAGTCAGTGCCGCCTATCAGTGCCAGTCAGTGCCGCCTATCAGTGCCAGTCAGTGCCGCCTATCAGTGCGGCCTTTCAGTGCCCATCAGTGATGCCTGTCAATGCCCATCAGTGCCACCTACCAGTGCCTCCTCGTCAGTGCCACCTATCAGTGTCCATCAGTGCAGCCTATCAGTGCCCATCACTACAGCCTCATTAGCGCACATCAGTGAAGGAGAAAAATCACTTATTTACAAAATTTTATAACAAAAACTAAGAAAAAATGTTGTTTTTTTTTTTCAAAATTGTCAGTGGTTTTTGGTTTGTTTAAGAAAAAATAAAAATCCCAGAGGTGATTAAATACCACCAAAATAAAGCTCTATCTGTCACAAAAATTATAAAAAAATTTCATATGGGTACAGTGTTGCATGACCGCGCAATTGTCATTCAAAGTGTGACAGCACTGAGAGCTGGAAATTGGCCTGGGCAGGAAAGGGGGTATAAGTGCCCTGTAGGCTAGTGGTTAAGATGGCCAAACCTGGAAGAACCCCGGGCGAACATGTCACTGGTGGTGACAACCTATGAAGGCTGTTGTAGTCGTTGTAGAGGTATCACTTTGACAAGTTAGTGTGGCATAACGTGCAAATATGCTGGGAGTAACTGCACATTATAGGTATAGCCCATTTATCACGATGCATATTTGTTATACTTTAAGTTTAGCAAGATTACCAAAATTCTCATGATTTAAAGAAATTTACTTGACCATTCTTCTGGGTCCAGAATCTTCTGTTTATCTCATTGGCTGATCACAGATGATGTATCTTCTGCACATCTGCAACTTACTCCTGGCATCTGTACATTCAGCTGCTCATGCTTTACAGTAAGTATACATTTAGTAGGCAGAGAAAGAGGTTTTCTGGCAGAAAAGGTATTCATCTGCTGTAAAAACCAACCTGCTAGCAATTTTTTAAAAATGTAACTATAGATCTGCTTTAGGGCTCTATTGGGACGCAGTGGCTGCATGGACACATCTCTCATAAAAGCCCTACAGGTCAGTAAATTTTAAAATAAGTGGGTTTACAACCACCTTAATTGGTTGATTTCTTGCATGCATCTGTTTATGGCTGTAAGGTTTTTTGCAATCAATACATTTAACCTAGGTTCATACATATGTGGTGTGGGAAACCCAGCAACCCCAGAGCGTTTCCCACACCGCATTGCAATTGCACTGTGTTTTTGCAATCCGCTGCGGGTGTCAATAAAAGTTAACGACACCCCAAAAGGATCGCAAACACAGTGCGGTTTGCCCACATAGGATCGTATGGTACACAACGACCATGTGATGCAGTTGTGATGCAGCTCCAAAAAAGGCGGCAGCACTTTTTTGGTGCGATGCGGTTTGAGCCCGTTCAGAATGAACCGGCTCAAATCGCACCACATTGAATCGCATGTGAATTGCACAGGAATACGGTGCAGTTCCTTTTGGTGTACACGCGAGTGATAGTGTGAACCAGGGCTAAAAAATATTTCTGGAAGCTAAAAAATGGTTGTAATATATGGAAGGATGTGTAGAGTGGTTGGTACTCACAGATGACTATAATGTGTTACTCAGATTGGAAGAGATGCAGCAATACACGTGTGGGATACTCAGACACTGAAATGCCTGTCACTGCTCAAAGGCCAACATCAAAGAGGGGTCTGCGCTCTGGACTTTTCAGGTAAATCTTATGCATCCTATTGTTTGTTTAGGAATGTACAGACAGTATCATAGTGTATAGGAAGACTATATACCAGAATAATCCCAAAAAAACATCTTAATGATCAAATCCAAAAACAATGTGATCAAAAAACAAAAAACAATGGGATCTAATAATAATCCCAATAATAATAATAATATATTTTTTTGGGGGGGATTATTATTGAGATGATGTTTTAGGGATTTATTGAGCTGATTTATATATTATTTTTATATTTTCACTCAGATTGGGAGCACGACATTTATTAATCTTTTTTTTGGTACTTATATACACATGAATAGAGGATGTGTTTGATGTCAGTGCACCTGTATTGATTTTAATTAGTGGCTTTACAAGTAACACTCAATTCAACACTTAAACAAGAGAGTAGCAGCAGGAGAGAGAGATCCCTGTGGGGATAGGAGTAGGGGGAGCCAACTGAGAGATACCCACCACCCTTTATATGATGCAAAACAGGTTTCAAAAGTTCCATAAGCGCAGTAAGCCTATCATAGGCTATTAAGGAGGTGAGCACACAATTTAATCACACTAAGGAATCACTGGAAATTTATATTTTATTTGAATCACATCACTGGGAGTTGTCACCTTATTTCAACAGAGACTTCTTTGCATTATTCAGTATTTATTTTTATAGTAGTCACTATATATTTATTTGATCACATTGTTTTTTGATCACATTGTTTTTTGATCACATTGTTTTTGGATTTGATCATTAAGATTTTTTTGGGGGATTATTATTTAGATTATGTTTTTTAGGGATTTATTGAGCTGCTTTATATATATTTTTTTATATTTTCACTTAGTATAGGAAGACTACTTTCTCTAATAAGGTATACGGTGCTATCAAACCCATATCATCAGGTACAAGCTAAGAAATACCATTTTAAAGCTGTAAATCTTCAGTGGTCCAGATTGCACCATCAACAGATACATATTTCCAGAGCTTTGAAATCTGCATTAAATCAAAAGTTTCTAATGCTTCATACACACAATGAGCATATCAGACACATGATCATCCTTTTTTCTGCATGCTAGTCTCATATCAAAAACCAATAGGTTACCAAAATTATGAAAATTCTCGTATGACAGAATACAACTTTGTATGATGTAATGTATTGTATAGTACTGTAATATATTCTTTTGTTTCTGAACATGAGTGATCTTGGTCTTCCAATTGTTTTTGGATGAATACTGTACTGATTGAATGAAAATCGTTTGTTCTGGTATCATACGAGAAAAAGTTTCATGCTTGTCCCTTAGGATAATTTTGCATGAACTGTTGTGATTGGCTCTCGAAAGAAATGTGCTAATGATCACATTATCGTATGCTTGCTGTATTTTTTGGCCAGTTTTCTGATTGTCTGTACTATGCCTACCTTCTCGGCATTCACTTGCCACTTAAGCTGTATGTCAAAGTAAAATACAAAAAGATATGCAGTACATCTCTGCTGTAAATGCACATTTCTTAGTGTTTAATTTCCTTAAAGTACCTGTAACTACAGAAAAATACTTGTTGATCTGCCACAGATGCACTCGGCTGGAGTTCCACCTGAAAAAAAAAATAAAAGTCAGCAGATACAAAAACTGAAAACTGTAGCTGCTGACTTTTAAAATATAGACACTTACCTGTCCCTCTGTCTAGCGGTGTCCTCACCACCGCTGGTTTTCATCAGCCGTCTTCTCTCCCGGACACTGCATCTTCGGTGTGGGCACCCGGCTGTGACAGCTTGCAGCTTCTCAGCCGGGTGCCCACTGCGCCTACGTGAGAAGCGCTGTACTTTGTGAATGGTCTCGTAGTGTTCTGAAACCTGTCACATGTCACAGAAGACTACAGGGAGGGAGGGAGGTGGACAACTTCCACTTCCTTAGATGATCGCAGCGGAAGTGTGTAACGGAACCGGACCCCAACTGCACTAGGGTATTTCCGTTAGACTCCCGCTTCCCTGTCCGAACAAAGATCCACGGACACCACCGCTGACCATACAAGACGAGACAGCACCAGACTAAACAGATTAAAACAGGAGATAGACTGCTTTATTTTAACATAGATACAAGATATATACACAGGGCGGGGAAATACACCCAGTAACAGGAAATACATCAGCAGGCCATCCCATCAGGGGGAAGGGCTGCCGGAAACACCCCCCACCAAGCCAGTACAAACACATATATCCCATAATAGTTTGCTCCCAAGCAAGACACACAATAGAACAATGGGATACACCATGTGGCAGTAGACTACACAAACCCATACATCCCATAATAGTTTGCACCCAAGCAAGACACACAATAGAACAATGGGATGCAGCCGCATGGCAGTGAACAATGAACACCCCCCACCCCACTATTAGAACATTCCACCCTGTACCCCTAACAGGCACAGGGTGACTTACACATAATAGGGATATGGGGAGCTGAGACAGGGGTCTCCCCACCTCTCCAAAGGGGGCTGTGTTCCATGGGCCCCCCACCCAAAGGTGCCAATCCTTAATGGGGAGCGGGGGACAAAGGCTTAAAGTGGAACTTCCCCTTTTGGGTGGAGCTCCGCTTTAACCCTTGTGTTTGCTGACAACACATTTTTTCTAAACTACTCAACTACCCCCACTCTTAGATCTCTACTGTATAATGGTTAAGTGTGTGTGTGTGGGGGGGGGGTTGTTTGAGATAGCGCAGAAAGTTTGCCAAGGACACAGGACAGCTCTGAATTTCTGACAAGATTAATAGGTTTTTTTTCACTTAGCAAAAAGATATAACAAAATGCTTCCAATGGTATATTAAACAGACCAAAAGGGAGCAAATAAGGGAAGTTTATTGTTGTGTTTATTGTTGTGTTTGTGCATAAAGGCAAAATGTTTTTTTTTTTTTATTTTGGATGGATTAGGGAGGGGTTAGGACCTATGTCAGGTTTTTTATTGCTCTCCATGTCTCTGTTGGGGAGATTCACCCTCTCATTATCATTGAGGCTGAAAGTTATTGGAAAATCTTATAGATGCCACAGGATCAGAAGCTGAGGGTAAATCTTCAATATGAACACTTGTTCCAGTGACAACGGTTTAGGAGGGTTTTTAGAACCTTGCTTATCTAACCACAGCTAAACTACTAAAAGCAAAGTGACCAATTATAAAACCGTGACATATATCAATTGATATAAATAAAAAGTCCCAAAAAGTGAAGAAATTAGTCCCAACAAGTGAAAAAAATGATAGCACAAAAAAAATATACAATATAAAAATCCATATTTTTCAATTCTTCAACTTTTATATTCCCACTTTTTGTTGCATGCTCATATTTATGGTGCCAATTTTATCCATCACCTTCTAGCGTGTGCGCTCACCTCAAAAATTCGACCCTCAAGGAGTCATAGAGCAATTAATATCCCCAGATGATCCCTGGTTGGATGGTGGATCTCTCCTTTTAAGTGGACACAGGAACAGCTCCCACCGAAATCATATAAATGATCAAACACATCTTTAAGGGGTCTTCAAATGGCTCAAAAAGATGTCAAATATAGAACTTCCATAGTGTAGTTATTATATATTTATTTCAAGAATCAAAAACAGCCAAATGGCTACTCACATAAAAACAAGGGTCACAGACCGTGCAGGCATGTACTGTGTAACCCACACTCAGGTATACATACAAGGAGTCCCAAGATGGCGATTACCATCCAAACGTAATGATGTCACCACGCTCTATTCCTACACGTTACGTCAAGCAGGCATGACAAGCAATACTTCTGATCCCCTGAAGAGGGCATTCTAAATATTGTCAAAGCATGAGGCTAAAATTTATCAAATTGTTTAGAAGAATGCTTGTTAGTTGTCTATTAGTCACAATTCAGATTGCATCTTCAAGTGTAACTTTTAGTAATTTCCACAAGCAGGTGGCGGCACTTTTAGCAGCCTAGAATATAAAGGAGATTACCTTTCGGGAGGATTTGGGGATATGTGAGATTGGCTTGCTCAGGAGAGCTTCATCTGGAGATTTATGTAGATTAATTTGTGGAACTGCAGTAAGGTTGAGAATGGCTGCTTTAAAGAAGAATTCAGTGGTGCTCCTAACTAATTCTGTGCAAGTGTTTACCTGGATAGTATTTGCAGTTCCATGATGATTTTCACTTTTTGTCTGAAGACTGTACTATCAGTAGGAAACAATATAGCTGATCTTTATATCTAGATGTGTTTCTCTTTCACTGACAGTTCTCAATGGAAAACCTATAATGTGTATCATCGGTATAATATATACTTTACACTAGGGGTGTCCAACCTGCGTCCCAAGATGCCTATGAATTCAGCCCTACACAAAGTCGTAAACTTACTTAAAAATTTTGAATTTTTGGGAGATTTTTTTTTTTTTTTTTTTTGTAAAAATGTGTTTACACTTAGCGGATACATGCAACCAAATAAAACTTTGACAATGTCTCTTTACTGGACTTTTATACATTTTATATTCCCAAAGAAAAATCTTCCACTCTTCACAATCACTCCTTCTTAATGCCATCATTTTTCGGCAGCACCTATTATTATTATTATACAGGACTTATATAGCGGCAACAGTTTGCTCAGCGCTTTACATTATAATGGGAGACAATACAGTAACAATACAGTTCAATACAAGAGGGATTAGAGGGCCCTGCCCCTTGGAGTTTACAATCTAGGAGGGAGGGGATAGTGGTACAAGAGGTAATTAGCTCTGGGGGATGGAGTGGTAGGAGGAGTAGTTGATTCCAGTATTAGCTGGGGTCAGGGTAGGCTTCCCTGAAGAGATGGGTTTTCAGAGTGCGCCTAAAGGTGAGCAGAGTAGGTGTTAGCCTGATAGCTTGGGGTAGGGAGTTCCAGAGGATGGGTGAAGCCCTTGAGAAATCCTGGAGACGAGCATGGGAGGAGGAGACAAGGGAGCTAAAGAGTAGGAGGTCTTGCGAGGAGCCGAGAGTACGGTTTGGGTGGTATTTAGAGACAAGGTCGGTGATGTAATTAGAGACAGTGTTTTGAACGGCTTTATACATCAGTGTTAGTGTTTTGAATTTTATCCATTGGGCAATTGGGAGCCAGTGATTGGCAGAGAGGGGTGGAGGACACTGAGTGGAGGCCAGTGGAGGGATTGGCAGAGAGGGGTGGGGGCCAGTGGAGGGATTGGCAGAGAGGGATGGAGGACACTGAGTGGAGGCCAGTGGAGGGATTGGCAGAGAGGGATGGAGGACACTGAGTGGAGACCAGTGGAGGGATTGGCAGAGAGGGGTGGCAGATACAGAACGGTTAGTAAGGTGGATGAGTCTGTCACAGCATTCATGATAGACTATATTTGTGAGTAACTATTTTCAAGGATGAAGCACACAAAGGGCAAAATTTGAACCAAAACATCTGATGAGCACCTCAAGAATTCATTGGAAAACTTCTACTACATCCCTTGGACCAGATATTTGTGTGTTTGTTTATCAAAAACTGTCAGATATCACACTCGTTTTTATGTTGCCCTCTTTTACTTTTATAATAAAAAAATATTACAACAAAAAATGACGTTTTATTACTCAGATAGGTACGTTATCTATATCAGTGATCGATAACTTGTGATCTGCTTGACTTTTTCTGCTCCTCGGCTCTCCTTATTGTTAGTGTATTTTATGTGTGACCTAGGACAATTCCTCTTCTTCCAATGTGGCCCAGGAAAGTCAAAAGGTTGGGCACCCCTGTTTTACACTGTAGATTGCATGTATTCATGTTTTTTTTTGTACCACCTGTCTGATTCTTTTAATTAAGTCTGACAATCTGTGCATGTATTTCAGCTGATGGGAAATGTCTGGTGTCCATTGGCCTGGATGATAATCATACCATTGTATACTGGGACTGGAAGAAAGGAGAAAAAATTGCTACAACCCGGTATGCTTTGTGCTTTCTTTAGTACAGTAGATATGTTACAAAGGAGAATTTTATACGTGTGCAATGTTCTGTACTCTACGCTATTTATACCAGTGGTGTTCAAGTTTCTTGATATGGGGGGCCTCAAGGACAGTCCCCGCCATCACCTTAGGGCTGCAAATAAAATTCAGTGAATTTTGATTATAGGAGACAGCAGACACACAATAGAATGCAGTCAATAACGATGGGCATGATACAAGAGAAGGTCAGAGACTGCAGACATGATACAGGAAATAGTGAGAGATGATGGACATAATACAAGAGATGGTCAGAGACTGCAGACATGATACAAGAGAAGGTGGACATAATACAAGAGATGGTCAGAGACTGCAGACATGATACAAGAGAAGGTGGACATAATACAAGAGATGGTCAGAGACTGCAGACATGATACAAGGGAAGGTGGACATACAGTTGTGGCCAAAATTATTCAACCCCACTGAAATTGAGTGTTTTGGCCAGTTTGACATTGCTTTTGATCATTCAGTCATCTTGCTTACATTTACATTAAAGAGGCACTTGTAGGTCAGACAAATATAACATAACAGTTATAATGAAATAACCACAAATGTCTTTTCTGTGCTCACAGCATTATCAGTTTTATTCAACCCCCAAGTGACATTCAATCTTAGTACTTAGTACAGCATCCTTTTACAGTTATAACAGCTTTTAAACGTGAAGCATAGCTTGACACAAGTGTCTTGCAGCGATCTACGGGTATCTTCGCCCATTCTTCATGGGCAAAGGCCTCCAGTTCAGTCACATTCTTAGGCTTGCGCACTGCAACTGCTTTCTTTAAGTCCCACCAGAGGTTCTCAATCGGATTTAAGTCTGGTGACTGCGATGGCCACTCCAAAATGTTCCAGCCTTTCCTCTGCAACCATGCTCTAGTGGACTTGGAGGTATGCTTGGGATCATTGTCCTGTTGAAAGGTCCAACGTCTCCCAAGCCTCAGGTGTGTGACGGACTGCATCACGTTTCCATCCAATATCTCCTGGTACTGAAGAGAATTCATGGTACCTTGCACACGCTGAAGCTTCCCTGTACCTGCAGAAGCAAAACAGCCCCAAAGCATGATTGACCCTCCACCATGCTTCACAGTAGGCAAGGTGTTCTTTTCATCATAGGCCTTGTTCTTCCTCCTCCAAACATAGCGTTGATCCATGGGCCCAAACAGTTCTAATTTTGTTTCATCAGTCCACAGAACACTATCCCACAACTTTTGTGGTTTGTCCACATGGCTTTTGGCATACTGCAGTCGACTCTTCTTATTCTTTGGAGACAGCAAGGGGGTACGCCTGGGAGTTCTGGCACGGAGGCCTTCATTACGCAGTGTGCGTCTTATTGTCTGGGCTGAAACTTCTGTACCCACATCTGACAAATCTTTTCTCAGTTCCTCAGCAGTCACACGGGGACTTCTCTCCACTCTACGCTTCAGGTAGCGCACAGCAGTCGAAGTCAGCATCTTCTTTCTGCCACGACCAGGTAGCGTTTCAACAGTGCCCTTTGCCTTGAATTTGCGAATGATGCTTCCTAAGGTGTCTCTTGGTATGTTTAACATCTTTGCAATCTTCTTATAGCCATTGCCCTTCCTGTGAAGAGAAATCACCTCTTCTCTTGTCTTCCTGGACCATTCTCTTGCCTTCACCATGTTTGTAACCACACCAGTAAATGTCTAGAAGGAGCTGAGTATCACAGTCATTTTAAAGCTGCCTAATTGGTGCTTATTATGCTTGATTGCTGCTCGGTGACATCCACAGGTGTTTTCAATACCTGATGGAAAGCACCTGTATGAACCTCTGTTCTTCAGAGTGGTAGTCTTTAAGGGGTTGAATAATTGTGGCAATGAAGAAACCACATAAGAACCATTTACTACTGTATTACATAAACAATTGATGTCATTTTAGTTGCATTTGGGTAGTTACAACGTCCTTGTAGGATTTGATTCTGAATACAATTCCAAATGTACACTATAGTCCCTAAACCCCTTTACAGCATTGGGGGTTGAATAATTTTGGCCACAACTGTAATACAAGAGATGGTCAGAGACTGCAGACATGATACAAGAGAAGGTGGACATAATACAAGAGATGGTCAGAGACTGCAGACATGATACAAGAGAAGGTGGACATAATACAAGAGATGGTCAGAGACTCCAGACATGATACAAGAGAAGGTGGACATAATACAAGAGATGGTCAGAGACTGCAGACATGCTACAAGAGAAGGTGGACATAATACAAGAGATGGTCAGAGACTGCAGACATGATACAACAGATGGTCAGAGACTGCAGACATGATACAAGAGAAGTCGGACATAATACATAAGACTTCAAACAGGGCAATAGGGAAACACAGAGTAGTGTATGCACAGACCCTGAGGGCAGCATGAAAAGTGTCAAAGGGCTGCATTTGGCCACAGGATTGGACAGACCACATACAGTTTATAGTACTTCCTTTATATTGAATGTTAGGGGGTTTTTTTCCTTAGTTTTGTAGAGTAGAGAATTTTTACAGTTTTTGTCAGCTTTTTATATATTTTCCTCTGTCTCTCAGGGAGATTTCCAAAGAAAAAAGAGAAAATAAAGAAAATTCTCTCCAAAGCCCAGAGAAATCCCCTCATAACAGTTGTCACTGGAGCGAGTGTCCTCACTGCAAGATTTCCATACACTTCCTATTTCTGTGACAACTCCAAAATGTTGGATCTCCGGTCCCTTTCTGTATTCTGGAGCTCCAGAATACATTTTTTGTCATTTGTCCATTTCATTAAATATGGCCTTTGTTGTCAATTTCTCTGAGGCAGTAGGACCTAATATAGGGTAGTGTGGGTGGTATTGTCTAACGTTGATAACTTTGCGTTGTGTATTTTTTTCTGCAGAGGGCACAAGGATAAAATATTTGTTGTGAAATGTAATCCACATCACACTGATAAGCTGGTTACCGTTGGCATAAAGCACATCAAGTTCTGGCAACAAACAGGTAAAGTTTGTCATAGAATCTCTGGTGCTTCAGATGCTGGTCACTGGTGCTGATCATACACTTTTTGTGGCAATTTTAATAAGACTCATCCTTCAAGTTAGGGGGCCCGTACATATAGCCATTATTAATTTCCCATGTATATCATTGAATACATTTTTTTTAAATAAAACGTTGATAGAATGTATTCACATTAGCTTTATGTATGTGAAGGCTCCATTATGTATGGGTGATAGGAGGAAAGTATTTTTGTATAGGTTAGGGGTCTCCAAACTTTCTAAGCAAAGGGCCAGTTTTCAGTCCTTCAGACTTTAGGGGGCTATGGCTATTGGGAGTAGAAAAGATCCCAATGTCAATGGGAAAAATAATGCCCCATTGATGTCAGTGGGAGATATTGTGCCTCATCATTGGTGTCACTGGGAGGAATAATGCCCCATCATTGGTGCTGTTGAGTCCCATTGTTGGTGTCACAGGGAGAAATTGTGCCCCGTAGTTGGTGTCATTGGGTCCCATTGTTGGTGCCTCTGGGACAAATTGAGCCCCATGGAACGGCTGAAAGCAATCAAAGGGCTGCATCTGGCCCCCGGGCTGCAGTTTGGAGACCACTGGTATAGGTGAAAAGAGGTAGATGTTAAACCTCTGTCAGGTTGTTATTGCAGTCTGTGTTCCCACTGGGGAGATTTTCCCTTAACTTTGTCTGTTTGATGGTGATGGACGTCAAACAGAACAGGACGTGGGGGGGAAAACTCCCCAGCAGGGACATAGAAAACAAATATACGTCTTCAGATATCTATTTCAGCTTACAAGGAGCCTGGAGTCCGGGGTAAACTTCTTTTTGCAAATGTCAACACTTGTCTGCAGTGTCAAAGGCTGTTGCGCCCATTTGCAGCCTTCCCCACCTTCCTATTGGCCTGTCATTATAATAGATGGCCTTATTGGGCTTCCAAAAAAGTGCAGGAGGAGTGCAGATGGCCTTCAACCATGCACATAAGTAACAGTATTTATATATAGAGGAGACTTTTGTTTCCCTAAGGGTCTAGATGAGGTACCTTTTAGTATATGTAGACTCCACTAGGAAGGTGCCTGAAATGGATTACTGTGGCCAGATTCAGTGTTAGCAGAAGTGTCAGGTTTTCATTAAATGACTGTTTTCTACTACATCCTCTTGGCAGGGGGTGGCTTTACTGCAAAACGTGGAACGTTCGGAAAACATTGCCAAACTAGAAACAATGATGTGTGTTGCTTATGGACGGGCAGAAGAACTGGTGTTTTCTGGTGCAGCTACTGGAGATATCTATATCTGGAAAGACGTTGTGCTGCTTAAAACCATCAAAGCCCACGATGGACCAGTCTTTGCTATGTACGCATTGGATAAGGTGATAACATCTTTATACGTATGCTGTCCTGTTCTTGAGTCTATGACTGGCAACCAATGGATGTACTTATGTAGATTGCTTTGTCCTAAAAAATATGAACATGTACATATAATGTATCATGAATCAAAACATTTAGTTATCACAAGATTTTTATTCTGTATTTAGCACAATAATGTGTTTTATTAGGAACAAACTTTTTGGCTGCTGTCACATTACTGGTGACCAGTAGACGAACTCATTGCCTCCAGCATCTATTGCCCTTGCAGTAATTGTCCTGAAAGGAAAAGTACAGGCAAAGCTCTTTTGGTTGTACTTCTCCTGTGGATCAAAGGATTGCAGTTCATTCTGCACTCCTGTGATCTGTTTTCAGCTGAGGGAAGTTGGGATCCACCCCAGAGTCTGGAGCGGCACCTGGCTCAGGCTCTTAGCGAGCTGCTGAGAGCCTGAGCCAGCCCATCCACAGTCCAGCTCTCCGTTGAGTGCAGGGGGCAGAGCAGACAGCGGTGACTCCTTTGTAGTCAGGACCACACCTGACCAATATGCACAAAGCAGATTGGTTCCCTAGCTACACAAGGAACCTGGGACCAGCTCATATACTGTATATTTAAAGTAAGATTTATTAACAGTAAAACAAAAGAAATTCAAGCACCAGCGAACATAAAAAGTGAACCACCATTATATAACCAAAATGCCTAACTAAGTAACAAGAAGCCCTACAAACTAACTATATACAATATGTACAAAAATGGGGAACACCGATATACAGGGTAGACTGTCAATGCAGCGAACAGATAGGAAGTGGGAAACAGGACTGGGATCAGGTACAGGGGGAGCAAGAATAATGCAGGAAGGTACAGGAGCACTGACGAAAAGTGTACTAGCAGAGGAAAGACTAAATACCCTCCCAGCAGCCAGCTTCAGGTGGAGACAAATTACTAGAATCAGCTGGCGGCGGGGAGACACCTGCTGGTGGACACCAGAACTACAACCTACTACTCTGGGAAATACGGAGCCACCAGCAGGTGATCCAGGTCCTCATGTGGGGTACTGGGAAATCCTTGAGCAAAGAAACCTTTTGACAAAAATAGAAATTTAGGGCAGAGCAGGAACAGTAAAGTTAACACGCTGCAGATAAACAGGAGGAAAGTAGGTACAGGATCATGGAAGACAGCAAAACGTTACCGCATTTGCAACTGATGGTAAATGGTTCTCATCAGGAAACAATGACCAAAGGCACAATGTCATCACCAGACATCTTAAAGGTGGGGATGGACCTTTGAGGCAGGTCTGCTTGTTCACAGTATGCTTAACTGGAAAACCACAGACAAAAAGAGACAGAGTTCCAAACCACAAAGGACAGACAAAGACAGATTTAACCTGGCCATAGATGGATCAGAATCCCCCCAGTTCAGCAGGGACTGGCTAAACTTTGATCCTTGTGTAGCCGTGCTGTTCCTTTTTGGCAGAAGCCAGTTGTTAGATTGACTCTGTCGAACAGGAATATTCGAAAACTTGATCAGTCACAGCAGCCATTGGACTGCAGGTGCTGATAAATGTGTTCTAACAGCAGAGAGCCCTGCAGTAAGAACTCAATATCCCAGAAGGGTGGATTCCTCCATCCACCCTGTTTGTGGGTGGAGGAATCCCTTGGTTGAACAAAAAAAAAAGAAAAAGAATCTTCTATGGCCTGCTTTAGTCATACCCAAGAGCAGGGGTCTCCAAACTGTCTAAACAAAGGGCCAGTTTACTGTCCTTCAGACATTAGGGAGCTCTGACTGTTGCCAGTGGGAGTAGAAAACATCCTAGTGTCAGTGAGAGCAAACAGTGCGTCAGGCTTGCTGGTCAGTGGGAGGAGGAATAGTGCCTCATCAGTGGTATCAGTGGGGGTAATAGTGCCCTATTGATGGCTATCAGTGGAAGGAATAGCATACCATTGTTAGTATTAGTGGGAAGAATAGTGCCCCAACATTGGTGTCTGTGGAAGGAATAGTGTTTCATAATTGTATAGTGCCACAAGGGCCAGATAAAGGCAAGCAAAGAGCTTCATCCGGCACATGGGCCACAGTTTGGAGACCACTGCCCAAGAGCAACAGAATGAATGTACAAACAGACAGGATATGAAACAAAGTAAATGCTTAACAGACACTAGAATCGGATCAGAAGATTCAAGACAGACGTGTCTGTCCCAAACAGTGAAAGAGACAGAGGGTGAAGTGTGAGAGACATTACAGGCTAACTCAAATGGAAGCACCAGCAACGGCTGGTGAAGCTGGAACACCTAAATAGCCACACAAAAAGAACAGATGAGACACAGGTCAAAGCAGGTTAACAGAACAGTTCTGACAGGCAAAACACACCAGACTTAAAACATTAAATGTGCGATTTGATCCCACGACCACATACCTTACATGCACAGAACAAGAAGTTGATATGATCTTGCATTTTACTCTGCAGCTGGTGGTCAAACAAAACAGTTTCTAAATACATGTAACCTCAAATTATGCAAGTTTATTTGTGAGTTTTACATTAAACCCTTACAATTTTCATCAATTTGTTGATAAATTGCCTTTATTACATACTGTGGCTTTGATGGTTTTCCCACATCCACTAGCTTTCGGTTGCAACATTCATACCTTAGAGGACACAAACTATGGACATTTGGATGGTAGGACTACGGTCCGTCTGTTGCAAACTTTGTAGAGTTTTTTTTTTAACTCTAAAGTGTCTAATGCATATGGCTGGCTGATGATTCAGCTGCTCTATGTACAAATATTTGAAAAGTTTCAACAACTTTCCTAAATGGTATCATTTAGAGTAGGGGTCTCCAAACTTTCTAAACAAAGGGCCAGTTTATTGTCCTTCAGACTTTAGGGGGATGGACTGTGGACATTTTCATGGCATCACTGGGAGTAAACATCACCACATTTGGTATTAGGGGGAAAAATAGTGCCCTTTTGTTGGTGTCAGTGGGAGAAATGGTGCACCATTGTTGGTTTTAGTGAGAGAAATGGTGCCCCATTGTTGGTGTCATTGGGAGAAATGGTGCCCCATTGTTGGTGTCAGTGGGAGAAATGGTGCACCATTGTTGGTGTCAGCGGGAGAAATGGTGCACCATTGTTGGTGTTAGTGAGAGAAATGGTGCACCATTGTTGGTGTCAGTGAGAGAAATGGTGCCCCATTGTTGATGTTAGTTGGCAGAATAGTGTCTAGTATTAGTGGGAGGAATAGTGCCCCAATGGCCGGATAGAAGCAAGCCAAGGGCTGCATCCAGCCCCTGGGCCACAGTTTGGAGACCACTGACTTTGAAAATCAGGCATGCAAGTTGATATCCCTAGAGCAAAGGAGCCACATTAGTACATATGACTTTTAGCCTCAGGTGGTTATTTCATGGGGGACTTGTTCTTCTGCATAGAAAGGGTTTTGGATAACTGATCCTAAAGAGAACCCATCATCAGCTCAATAAAGCCAAAGATTATTTTCTCTAAAAACTAAATCAAAAACAGAAGGTTGGTAATATTTTCTTTTAAATTTAAGGGATTTTTTTCATTTGTTTAAGCCAAAGTCAGGCTTTCCTTGTGTATATGGGAAGGAAAATAACTCCAGTTAGACTTGAAGTGGCAGATCAATGGACATCCTCTAGTTGCAGATCAGCCTAATCTGGACTTGAGCTCAGACCTTGCAGATCAGCTTGCCCATTTAATTTTATAAGCAATTACAGCACATACTAAATAATGAATTGATTAATCAGATCTGCTACGTAATTAAGTGTTTACTGTTTCTAGAAGAAGTACAATGCATTCATGACATGTCTGGTAATCTGCTGCTTTTTTGGAGACAGTAACACAGACAATTCCCCTTCCCAAATCCTCGGATGCAGGGAAGAGAGTTAGGGACTTTGCTTGTGAAATCTGGCATTACAGCAAGTTCTTAAAATACAGGGAGCTCCTTAGGGCTGTTCTGCAATGCTGTTAGGTTTGCCACTTTTTCACAGCATGAAAGCTACATGATACAAAGCTTGAAACCCAATTAATGATACACAAAATATCAGCATTATATACAGTACTAGCCTTCATTCTTTTTTCTGTGTGTGTGATAGGGCTTTGTGACCGGTGGGAAGGACGGAGTAGTGGCGCTCTGGGATGACATGTTCGAAAGGTGCCTAAAGACATATGCCATTAAAAGATCTGCAGTTTCCTCCAATTCTAAAGGTAATTCTGTTACTATAAAAAAAGTGAAGTGTGCTGGATTTTATTTGACATTTATCTCAGCTGTCACCTAAAGACATTTTCTGCATAATGTTTGTGTCAGTGCTGCTGTGTAACCACCTCTGCAGCCTTTCTTTAATTGGATTTTTTTTTTAAATCGGAGATGAGGTGTTTAATTCTTTCTAACATATTTTAGTTCTTACGTGTACAGGGGAAAAAGTGAGTCCAAACCACCCCCTTCCCCAGAGTGTCTGTGTTGTAGCAGCTAGAGCTGTCAGTCGCTGCACACTTGGAACACTGCAGCTGCACTCCTGATTCTAAAGATTAAAGTGCTTGTAAAGGCATAACTTTTTTTTGCAAATAGCAAACATTTCATACTTATCTGCTCTGTGCAATGGTTTTGCACACAGCAGCCCTAATCCTCTCTTCTAGGGACCCCTGCCGGTGTTCGTGGCTCTGCCAAACTGCCCCCACCCCCTGCTCCGAGTGCATACCATATCAAGATGCTTTTTATGGGGGCACTCGTGTGTGTGCTCGCTCCCGAGCACACTCCCGACTCATTGACCACAGCTCAGTCCCACTGAGCTGAACCATTGGCTCCTGTTGCTGTCTCTGAGCCTATGAGGAGGGAGAGAGCCAAGAGAGTGCCCCTGTTCTCATGGTGGGGAGCTGAACAGAGAAGGTAAAAAGCCTTCTGCTTTTACAACCACTTTAAAGCTGAACTCCACAAATTCAGCCACTTGCTGGCATGCTATGAAAGTAAGTCCAAAAAGATGCATGCCACCTCTCTTTAATTTACATCTGCCAGTTTTTATGGAGCTCTGGGAGTGCAGCTATCACTACACTCCTGGAGCTCTGACAGCTCTCACACACACACAGCATCTCTGCCCACCCCTCCACTGTTTAGTCACAGAAGCCTTTGTATTTTGTGAAAAAGTTCATCTAATACAAAGAGCTCTGTGATTGGACAAGAGGAAGGAAGGAGCAGGCACAGTGGCTGCATGCAATTCTACAACTGCTGGAGCTGAAAAAGAGGGTCCAGCTTCAGAGCTCTGGAACTATAGCAATAGCTATGATACTGGCACTCTATAAAAATACAAATTGTACATTAAAGAGATAAGTCCAGGAAGTGGCATGCACCTCGTTGGACTTACCCCTAGTAATCTAGCACATAGTGCAAAGTAGCTTAACTCCCTTGAGTTCAGCTTTAAGGCTGAACTAAGCTTTTATATATTTACAGATTGTGCAATGTTTGCACACATTTATTTTGGCAATACATTTAAAAATATTCATTCTTCCTTTGGGAAGATCAGGCCGTGGCATGGTTAATATTAGATGTTGAAAAAGCCTATTACTGCCCTCATGCTGCATCTCCATCATTCTCCTTAAGAGATCTGTCCATCTCTGACTGCCCTTGTTGTCAGGGTACCAGTCAACATCTGTACCGGTTGGTTCTCATTACTACTTATGCAAGATGGAACAAACAGCTTTAACGTTAATCTTTTATAGGCTTACTCTTAGAAGACAATCCTTCAATACGTGCCATCACATTGGGACATGGACACATACTGGTTGGGACCAAGAATGGAGAAGTTTTAGAACTTGATAAAAGTGGTCCAATAACACTGCTTGTTCAGGTAAGAGTTATTGCTGATGTTGGTAATAATGGTATTGTATAGGACAGTGCTTTCCAAGGTTTGTTTAGTTGTGTTTTACATTCTGAAACTTCAGTGTGTAAGTACTACCAGAACAACTACTGTAAATGTTTCTTTGGGCAGCAGCTTTAGTATCACTTCACTGTCTTGACTATGAACTTGGCCACAAGCTCGCACATTTTCCCACTTTCCTGTGTTTTCTCACAAGCATTCCTTTCAGTCCCAACCCTGCATGGCCCATCTTTAGAACCAGCACTCAATAACTGTTCTGCGCTCCTCAAAGTGGCCATGAAGCCCACACCAAAAGAGACATCTATGAGAGCGGTCATAGGAAACCCGATTCTTTATTACTTCTTACAACAAAAATGTCCAAAGCAAGTGATGTATTTCAAATGCTTTGGAAATCCTAGTCATGTAGAATGTTCTCTACAGGGCAAACCACTAGATTTCTAAAATGTAGTTTGAACCCATTTAAACATGTACAGTTGCAAGAAAAAGTATGTGAACCCCTTGGGATTACGTGGAGTTTTGCATGAATTGGGCATAAAATGTGCTCTAAACTTCATCTAAGTCACAACAATTAGCTCTGGGAGAAGTCATTAAGCTAGGGCCTCACATACTTTTTCCTCCCTGCACTGTGAATGTTTACATGTTATGTGCAATTAAACCATGGCAACATTTAATGTTTGTGTAGTATTATGTTCAGCAGACTGTGTTCTTCTATTGTTGTGATTTAGATGAGGTTCAGAGCACATTTTATGCCCAATTCGTGCAAAACTCCATGTAATCCCAAGGGGTTCACATACTTTTTCTTGCAACTGTATGTTCAATTGTACTTTCATTGTTTATCTTTTTGCAAAATCCAATTATCTCCTTCTAGAATTCAAGTGTGAGCCTTTTTGTGCTGCAATAATACAGCTCAACAAAAAAAAAATCTTTTATCTGGTTGCTTTTCTTTTAGACCTGTTTTGGGGTTATTTGGGGTGCTGATTCAGAATATCGTACTGGCTTGACTGCATCAGCTCTAGTTCCTTAGATATGATCAAATTTATGTAAATTTTTTGTAAGTATTTGAAAAGATCTTGCTGATCAACGTGTTCTGTTACCTAGTTTGTGTTTCTGCATACAAGTTAGCAAATACAGTGAGAGTGTTTACGTACTTTTTACTGTAATTTTACATTGGAAACATTCGATTCTAAAGTGTAAGTTTTTAACTGTATTTTAGTTATGATCGTATAGGAGGTGTGTGTATATTGCCACTCATATTGTTTCATTTTTGCAAAGCAAGCACCATAGAGCAGTTTCACGGACACAGCCCGCTTTGCTCTAAGGGCAGCCGGGAGTAAATGGAATATGCTGTCCATTTACACCCAACTATTCTAAACAGAAGAGGATAGATCCCCTTCTGTAATTTTTAGCAGACCTGATCGGACCCAGAGGTAGGCAGGTGTATACAGACACAAGTCCATTTACATCTGCCTGTTCATAGAGATGAATAGACCTTCTGCTCAGGACCTCCTCAAAAAAACTGACAGGAGAACCTGATTGGAACGGCTGTGTAAAAGGGGCCTTATGCTCCTCAAAAAACTGACAGGAGAACCTGATTGGAACGGCTGTGTAAAAGGGGCCTTATGCTGCTAGCATTAGTAAATAGATAGGAAGGTAAATATATATATTTAATTGCACAGTGACATTCATTTTGCACAGTGGGATTTAATTGTCGTTTATTCAGAGACTTTTTTATTATTATTTATCTTTTTAAAAAACATCATTCTTATATATTTTTCATTTATTATTTTTTATTTTTGCATGGACTTTTTTATTTTATTTTAGTATAAGTTTTTTTCACTGAGGGAAATTTGCACATTGCACATTGTTATAAGGATTGCACATTTTGTGATGTATTAATAAGGTATGAATTATTTTATAATTGTTTTAGATAATTAGCTACGTATATTACTAATTTATTTGCTTTCACATGATTTTGCAATCATGATTCACCATTTATTCTTATATTTTATTTATTTATAAGCACATAGCACTTTTTATTTATTTGTTTTGTGGATATTAGAGCGCGGTTAAAATTTAAATTAAATTCTTAAAAATGCACATCAGAAGAGAGTGGGCTTATTAACCAGCGATCTAGTACTTATACCTTCATAATATACCTCAGTGGCTCGCAAGCTCATTTGTTTGATATAACATATACTTGTTTTAAACTTTTGTTTATATATCTTCAGTGTCTTCCTGATCTCTGGCCTAGGCCACATCCCAGGAGTATTTATGGGCATTTTATTTTCTTACATCAAGAGGAGAGGAGTGGCTTTCTCAGCAAAGCACACCCTCCTGCCTACATGCCTGAGCTAAGGGCAGATGGATTCCAGGAAGTAAATGCCACATGAATCATCTGACCTTATTGAAGATGGCTGCGGCTAGAAATGTTGGGGGGGGGGGGGAGGTTCAAAAGTGATTTTTCAACAAAAATAAAGCATGTAGACATGGATAGATGGGGGAGTTTGCTTTGAACAATGAGAATAAATTAAAATAGCATTTTTAGTTTGTGGTGCTCCATTCAGTTAAGTTTATGCTTTAAAACCGTCAACAACTACCACATTACATTGATGAGCCCTAGTGCAGCTGGAACAGTTTGCCTTTAAATCTATTCTGTTTGACTGCTCCATTGTCTGTAAAGGTGGAAAAATACATCCAAAACCAATTTTAAATCCATTATTTGGCCTGTGATATAATTCAAGATATGTCTTCCAGCCGTTTACAATGCAGGGTGGGATTCTAAAGAGCACAAATGTAGTTGCAAAGCTGGATCATTGAATAGCAAACACCCTGGGGGGTGTAGCCAGGATGACCGAATTATATGGAAGAAAATAGCATCATTTTGTACATTGATTAGATCAGTGTAAGCATGTATTGACTAATATATGAAAAGCAGATGCTCTGAGAGGTAATTATGGTGTTCCGGAAAGCTTGGTGAAGGTTTATTATTGTTGGATAAAATCCACAGTGTGGTCACAGAGTTAACCTCAGACAAAACTGAAATGCCAAACTACATAGCAGCTTTTTAACTAATGAATGAACTACAAGTGTTGTACTGAAAGCTAAAATGGGCATAGCTTTTTAATAACTTACATAGGTCCTTCAAATTTGGTAAAGCCACTCTTCCTCTATAGTAACTCTTCTCCGTCTTCTTTTTCATTGCAGGCAAATAATGGATTACAAACAGAAGCAATGTGCCATCATTGAGTTCTTGATGAAAAAGGGGTGCAGGCTTTCCACCATCCAAAGATGTCTACAGAATATTCCCGGAGATGACACTATTGACAAAAGTCACCAATGACAAGACATTGCTTTCGTCAGTGGTGTCATCTCCATAAGTATTCTGTATCCATCTGTGGATGTAGGACAGCCTGCACCCCTCCTTCATCAAAAACTCAATGACAGCATTTTGCTTCTGCTGGGGATCTTTTATTTACCTGCAATGAAAAAGAAGAGAAGTTTCTATAGAGGAAGGGTTACTCTACCAACATGTGAAATTTAAACAACCTATCTAAGTTAATAAAAAAGTTATGCCCATTATACATTACTTTCAGTTTCACAAAGTACCTATACTTCAGTAGAGAGGGAAAGATTCTTTGTGGTCATTGTGGAAAGATCTGATGGCTCTTCATTCTGAGATAATTTTATAAATTAATAAAGTTTATTGTAAAGACCAGGCCCAGAGACTGGAGGTCACAGTCTTGTGAACAGTACACACAACCTGATTCTATTGTTATATACACTATATTGCTAAAAGTATTGGCCCGCCTGCCTTTACACGCACATGAGCTTTAATGGCATCCCAGTCTTAGTCCGTAGGGTTCAATATTGAGTTGGCCCCGCCCTTTGCAGCTATAACAACTTTAACTCCTCTGGGAAGGCCGTCCACAAGGATTATGAGGGTGTCTATGGGAATGTTTGACCATACTTCTAGAAGAGCATTTGTGCGGTCAGGCACTGATGTTGGGGGAGAAGGCCTGGCTCGTAGTCTCCGCTCTAATTCATCCCAAAGGTTTTCTATCGGGTTGAGGTCAGGACTCTGTGCAGGCCAGTCAAGTTCCTCCACCCCAAACTTGCTCATCCATGTCTTTATGGACCTTGCTTTGTGCACTGGTGCGCAGTCATGTTGGAACAGGAAGGGGCCATCCCCAAACTGTTCCCACAAAAGTATTTGTCCAGAATGTCTTGGTATGCTGATGCCTTTGAAGTTCCCTTCACTGGAACTAAAGGGCCCAACCCCTGAAAAGCAACCCAACACCATAATCCCCCCTCCACCAAACTTTACACTTGGCACAATGCAGTCAGGCAAGTACTGTTCTCCTGGCAACTGCCAAACCCAGACACATCCATCAGACTGCCAGACAGAGAAGTGTGATTTGTCACTCCAGAGAACAAGTCTGCACTGCTCTAGAGTCCATTGTCGGCGTGCTTTGCACCACATTTTACTAGCAAGGAAATGTCATGGATGGACTTATTGCACAGGTGGCAACCTATCACGGGACCACACTTGGAGTCACTGAGCTCCTGAGAGCGACCCATTCTTTCACAAATGTTTGTAGAAGCAGTCTGCATACTTAGGTGCTTGATTTTATACACCTGTGGCCATGGAATTGATTGGAACATTGGAGTCCAATAATGTGGGGGGGTGTCCCAATACTTTTTGTATATATTTTTGTAAATTATTTATTAAGAAACAGAACATTGTACAAATCATGAAATAGATCAGAGTACATTATATATTACTGAGATGGACAAAACAGGTCTGTGATACAAGATACGTACATTCCACGCTCTACGGCAATACAGTTCAATGCTTCTCAAGTATAGCATGCTAATTGATGCCCAAAGCCGTTTCAGTGCGATCATGGAAAAAAGGAAGGTTTCTTCTTGGTCTGCTCAAACATCAACACTTTGGTCTAGGGTACATTTGCTTTGAGTCTTGTTTTCGGTTTTATAGAGCAGAGAACATAAGGGTGGGTAAATTGTGGATAGAATGTTTATTCAAAGAAAGATGAGCTGAGAACAGGGAAGGAGCTTGAGGGTAACAAGGAGAAATGTCAGGAGGAGGACTGAGGGTGCAATAAGTTAAGAAGGCGAAGTGAGTGTAGGGGAGGGGGTGGGATTCGAGAAGAGAGAGTTTGGAATGGCAGAGGCTACTGGAAAGGCGCCTAGAATTTTTTGTTTAAATTTTTTTAAACAAGAATAAAATTGAGTAAGTAGAACCTAGAAAGAAGAAGACAAAGAAGATGAGATAAGAAAAAAATTGAGGTGAGATAAGGGCCCCTGCCTACCTCCTTGGAGAGATAGGCTCCCATTACTTCTTTGTATTTGTCTAAGAACCAAGGGCGGACTGACCATTCGGGCACTCGGGCACTGTCCGAGGGCCCAGGGTCAGTAGGGGGCCCCATGAGATGCCCTTAGTATTTTTCAAAGGCTTTTTTGGGTGTGATAACATAAAAATAGTGCAGCGCTGAAAAAAATGACAAAGTGACAAAAAAGTAGTCCACTAAAAGTCTATGACATATAAACGTATCCAGTGCAGATGTGGATTCAGAATAGGTGATCCGTGTGGAAATGGCTGGAAAACGCACTCACCAGAAGTAAGACACATAAACGCAGTGTGTATATAGAACTCAAGGATCTTCAATCCAGAGGGAAGTAAAGCTGATCCGGTTACAGGAATGGTGAATCCCTCCTCCGCAGATGCAGCAACCGATCTTCCTTAACACGATTAGATGTAGAATTCCAAGACCAAGGTTCTGCAAGCAAAAGCTCCTCAAGGGAGTTTTAGGGAAGGACACCCATAGTGAAGTAGGTAATAAAAGGCAGCTTTATTCACAATAATGATATCCAATTCAAAGCAGGCAGGTATCATACAGATGTGTCAGCAAGACAACTAACCCTGATACTTTGAATAGTGGCCGCCGGGCCTCCACGTGGAACCGGCGGCGTAGCGTCTCGACGTCCAGGCTCCTCCTTACGCGTTACGTGCGCACGCACATCTTCAGAGGTATGGTTCCATACCTCTGAAGATGTGCGTGCGCACGTAACGCGTAAGGAGGAGCCTGGACGTCGAGACGCTACGCCGCCGGTGCCACGTGGAGGCCCGGCGGCCACTATTCAAAGTATCAGGGTTAGTTGTCTTGCTGACACATCTGTATGATACCTGCCTGCTTTGAATTGGATATCATTATTGTGAATAAAGCTGCCTTTTATTACCTACTTCACTATGGGTGTCCTTCCCTAAAACTCCCTTGAGGAGCTTTTGCTTGCAGAACCTTGGTCTTGGAATTCTACATCTAATCGTGTTAAGGAAGATCGGTTGCTGCATCTGCGGAGGAGGGATTCACCATTCCTGTAACCGGATCAGCTTTACTTCCCTCTGGATTGAAGATCCTTGAGTTCTATATACACACTGCGTTTATGTGTCTTACTTCTGGTGAGTGCGTTTTCCAGCCATTTCCACACGGATCACCTATTCTGAATCCACATCTGACACTGGATACGTTTATATGTCATAGACTTTTAGTGGACTACTTTTTTGTCACTTTGTCATTTTTTTCAGCGCTGCACTATTTTTATGTTATTGCTTTTAGTGTTATTGGTTGCTTAGAGTGCCTAGCCGCTTTCAGGATTAGCGCTCACTGCTGTTTCTTCTTATTTTTTGGGTGTGGTTTGAGTGTGTGTAAGGACACAGGGGCCCCATGATCCCCTATTGCCCAGGGGCCCCATGAGTTGTCAGTCCGCCCCTGCTAAGAACTGAAAATGAATGGGTTTGTTATATATTTTAAATGTCCATCATGGTGAGTAGTAAATGTAAGTACACTTTTTAACTAATATATACAGTAGTACAGAGGTCAATGCAATCATATTGGCTGTTTTGACTGATATAAAAATTTTGTAGAAAATGTAATTACGTTTTCTTTTTCTTTTTTGACAGGGCCACATGGAAGGAGAGGTCTGGGGTCTGGCAACCCACCCACAGCTGCCTATAAGTGCCACAGTGAGTGATGACAAAATCTCTCCGGATCTGGGAACTCTCCTCACAACACCGCATGCTGGCTGTGCGGAAGCTGAAAAAGGGTGAGAGTCATCATATCCTGTATAATTGAGCGCATACTGTCCTTTTTATGCCGGTCTTGAATAGCTATTAAAGTACATGTATGGGCAGAATTACAAAAATACAAACACATTCAATACAGCTCTGCGATACTTGCACACTTACCCTCTTTAACCACTTCCTGTCCGGACACTTTTACCCCCTTCCTGTCCAGGCCAATTTTCAGCTTTCAGTGCTATCACACTTTGAATGACATTTGCATGGTCATGCAACACTGAACCCATATTAATTTTTTAGCATTTTTTTTGAGACAGATAAAGCTTTTTTTGGTGGTATTTATTCACCACTGGGATTTTTATTTTTTTTGCTATGTAAATTAAAAAGTCCAAAAATTTTGAAAAAAGTGTTTTTTCTTATAATATTTTGCAAATAAATAGTATTTCATCATAAATCTTGGCCAAAATTTATTCCGTTATATTTTTAGTAAAAAAAAAATAACCCAAATTAGTTTATAACCAAAAATTATAATTTTAAAACATTTTTTAAAATTTTTTTTAATTTTTTTTTATATTATTTTTTATTTTTTTTACATACTGTCACCCTAGCAGTATAGTGTCACCATGGTGACACTGTACTACTTGTGGGGGGTGATGAAGATTTTTTTTTTTTTTTACACTGATTGCTTTTACACCCATAAAGGATGTAAAATAAATAATTTCTCCTTCTCTCTAGCTGCATTCTTGCAGCCATTGAGAACTACTGTGTGAGCTGTGATTGGTCACAGCTTGTCACATGGTACAAGGCTGTTGTGAATAGCCTTGTACCATGTGACCTCTGCGATCATTCACAAGTGACATCTTGCTTACTACTCTGCATGTGATCACTGATTGGCCAATCAGTGATCACATGATCCAGACCTTGCACAGAGGTCCCGTCCGACGATCAGTGTTTCACTGTGTCCAGAGGACACAGCAGGCACCAGATCGCGGTGCTGCACGCTCCCAGGTAGTGTGCACAAGCAGGGTGCAGGGAGACCGTTTATAAAGAGCCACCTGACCCTGCACTGCCACTGTTCGGCAGGTGGTTAAAATAATAAATTAATGATCTGCCCAAAATCTGGTAAACTGCTAACTTCCTGTTATTAACTGACAATGCTGCCTCTATCATCAACATAAGTGCCACAGTCATGTTTTGCATTGTATTGGTATTGTTCTATCACATGTTCTGTCCCCATTTGGAATGTACAGCGCTGAGCGAACTATTGGCACTTTATAAATACTGTATAATAATATTAATAATAAGTGGGGGAGGTTCTGTAGTCCAAAAGTTATTTTTCTGTACTTGCAGCATCCTTAAAGAAACAAAACAGTGGAACATGTGTTCAGACATGCTTACATATACTGAAGAAACAGTAAAAGCACTAAAGGGCTTGTTCACACTTGACTTCTTCCCAAACGCCCCTATAGCGTTTGACAGCTGTTAGACAGGCGTTTTACAAGCGTTAAAAAATGCTCCTCAAACACCCTATGCACAGTTTTGAGGCATTTCATCGGCTTTTTACAAGTGTTAAAACCGCACCACAAACGCCGATAATGAACTTAATGGTATTAACGCCCCAAAAATGTCTGCCAGGCATTTGAGGAGCATCACCATAGACTTGAATGGGAGGCGTTGAAAGGCTTCAACTCCTCCTGACATGACATGGGGTGTCAATTTTGACGTGTCACTAACACTTCAGTGTGAACAGCACTGTGTGCTGCCATGTGTATCATTTTCATAGGCATTTGAGGAGCTTTAAAAAGGCCCCTCAAACGCCTGCTTTCAATGCTAGTGTGAATTGAGCCTTAAAGTGGAAATAAACTCCCTTCTCCTTTTTCAGCCAAGGAAGCTGCCATCTTAGCCTCTGTTTGACCTGCAACTACCATGATGCTGCACATGTGATCAATTATGACACCAGTCATTTGATGGTTTGACAGTTTGGTTGAGAGCGCAAGCAAATGTGACAGTTAGCATTCCTGGCATGTCGGGAATGTAACTGCTTTTTTGAAACTATTCAATTGATGGGTTTAGCTCTGCTTTAAAACAATCCCCTACTCTCCTCTGTAGCTAAAGGTATTGTTGAGAAATTCATTACAACAGAGGCAATGAAAACCTTTGTTTTGCACCAGAATCTTGGCAACCTGCCAGCCTTCTAATGCAAACACACAGCAGGTATTTCTAAATGGTTAGAAACAAACTGAAACCCAACTTTAGTCTTTGTTGTGATTTTTGAAGAAGAATTACTTCACAGTACAGGCAGCTGAAGAGGTTAGAGATAGCTTGTTTTAAAGCTTTCATTATGCTTGTTAAGAGTAAGTAAATAATTTATTATCTATAGTCTGACAGGGGTGCACTGTATCGGAAAGCTCCATCCAATGTAAGTTGCACTATTGTGTGATGTAATTCCCAAGAAGAATGCCCAGGTGTCATTTCCAGTAGGTGGCGTTGGTTTAGTGGAGATATGGATATTCCAATAGGTTGTTTAGTTTGTGGTTTGGTTTCTTCAGCTGCTATCATGTGTTTTGTCTCAGGTGGACGATGCTGTGCCTTTTCACCAGACGGGAAAGCCTTAGCTGTAGGCTTGAATGACGGCAGCTTTATGGTGGTCAATGCTGACACTCTTGAAGACATGGTGTCCTTTCATCACCGGAAGGAAATGATATCTGATATTAAGTTTTCACCAGGTATTCTTTTTTTATGAACTCTAAAGGTATTTGTATCAAAGCTATTAAAACAATTATGCCTTCTGGCAATTTGACTTTTTAAAGCCAAGCACAGAACTAGATACATAGTTCAAAGACATACAGTATATGCTTGCTGTTTTACCTATTAAAGAATTTTCAGTTGTGTACATCCAGTCTTGTGATGCCTCCAGTTTATTGAGGTGTAAAAAAAAGTGCAGCACAGTGGCTAAATGGTTAGCACTTCCGTCTGGCATTACTAGGGTCGTTGGTTGGTTTGAATCCCAGCCACAGCACCACCTGCCTGGAGTTTGCATGTTCTCCCTGTGCCTGCGTGGGTTTCCTCCGGGTACTCTGGTTTCCTCCCACACTCCAAGACATGCTGGTAGGTGAATTGGATCCTGTTTAAATTGGCCCTAGTATGTGTATGTATGAATGTAAGTTAGGGACCTTAGATTGTACGCCACTTGAGGGTTAGTGACTGATGTGAATGTACCAGGGTGGATTTGATTTAAATCAAACTGATTTAAATCACAATTTAAATCACGATTTAAATCACTAGTCAGTAAGACTTGATTTAAATCATAGTTTTCTACATGGACTGATTCTTGCTGGTATAACTGTAATAGGCAAGTAGATGAAGATTTTTAGAATAACAACTTTTCATATTAGTTTTTTTATCCCCAGTTTAATAGGTTAATCATTCATATTTGGACAACTTTTCTGTTGTACTTAGGAAGGAGAAAAATAATCATTACCTTAATAATAACAATTTAAATAGATTTATTCAACTGAAACAATAACATTCCAGCATATGTGATTTGCTTAAACATCCATGTTTGTTAACTAATTTGGCTAAACAAAATATATATAATTTAAGAAACTTAGACTGTCAGCCCCGTCCTCCTCACACTTAGTTTCACTTCTTGTGCAGATCTATTCCACTCCAAACAATCAGAAAAATATTGTTCCTATTCTATTCACTGAATTTCTTGAAACTTAGCAGTGAAGGGGTTGATTCTGTATTCATAGGTTTGTAGAAGTTAGGATGAAGGTCTTTTTCTTAACTCTGTTCATGTTATAACATTTTTGCTGTGAAGAAGAGGCATGTGATCTCCGCTGAGTCAAATTCAGTTTTGAGAACTGCAAAAGTAAACCGAGCATCTGTGATAATATCTTGTAGGCAGAGAAACTGCCCAATAATCTTACAAAAACCTCTGGAAGAGCATGACATTGTGAATGGATTCATGGAATTTATTTACCAAAAAATTAAACATATACAGCCTTATTCTACATAATTAAAAAAACTAATCTTTATTTCTGGTGATGGAATAACCTTTGGATGGTAATATATTTTCCTCCAAAAAGCATTTTATTCAAAAAAATCCGATTTAAATCAAAAAAATCAGATTTAAAAAAAAAAAAAAAAAAAAATCATTGATTTTTATCCACCCTGGAATGTACAATATATATGTAAAGCGCTGCGAAAATTGATGGCGCTATATAAGTACCTGAAATTAAAAATAAATAAAATAAATAAGTGCAAGGCAAATCTGCTAACCACTAAGCAACTGTGCCGCCCATATGTTAAATGAACAGAAGAACAGAACAGGTTTTTACTGCGGATCTATACAAACTAATACAGTGTGTGCCTTTAGTGGAGATATAACAATCAATCTGTAATGCACTTTCTTTTTGTTTTTCCTTTTTTTTAATGTTTTGTTTTTTTTGTAGATGCTGGAAAGTATCTGGCTGTGGCATCACATGATAATTTTGTGGATATTTATAATGTACTTTCAAGCAAGAGAGTTGGAATCTGCAAAGGTGCCTCCAGCTATATCACACACATTGACTGGGATTCCAGAGGTAAAATATGGATTTATTTAGAAGCATTGTGCATAGGTTTCACTCTTAGCGGTGTCTGCAATTCATTTTAGAGGTAGTATATCAAATTCATTTGGATATAGCATTGCATGACTGAGTAATTGTTATACAAAGAAAGACAGTGCTGAAAAAGATGAATGGCCTGGACAGAAAAAGGGTTTAACAATCCGGGCTTCAAGTGGTCAAGGGGTCACTTTGCCCATCCAGATAGTTTCACATATACTATAGTTTTAAGGCAAACAAATGTGTGATATCCAGAATTTGTCCAGCAAAATTAAGCCTCACCTTCATAATAATTCCATCCCCATTCTGGGTTAACTACCCTGTAAAGGAAAGATGTCTATACTTACCTATGCTGAGGACGCTGTGATCTGATCACATGATTGGCTTACAGCACTGACTTCAGTTTAGAGATCACTGACAACAGATGCCCTATAGTAAGCCTATAGGTGGTGTCATTGCCTAGGCTCTACAGCTGTTGTCGGCGATCTCTCCTCTTCCCTGAAGCCAGTGCAGAGAGTGCCCTCAGCATGGGTAAGTATAGACATCTTTCCTTTACAGGGTAGTTAGAATAGGCTTAGAATGAGGATGAGAGCCGGTTTAAAGAGTTACCACTTCCTGTCCGGACACTTTTACCCCCTTCCTGTCCAGGGCAATTTTCAGCTTTCAGCGCTATCACACTTTGAATGACAATTGCGCGGTCATGCAATACTGTACCCATATGAATTTTTACCATTTTTTTGAGACAGATAAAGCTTTATTTTGGTGGTATTTATTCACCGCTGGGATTTTTATTTTTTTTACTATGTAAATGAAAAAGTCCAAAAATTTTGAAAAAAAGTGTTTTTTTTAATAAAATTTTGCAAATAAATAATATTTCATCCTAAATCTTGGCCAAAATTTATTCCGTTATTTTTTTAGTAAAAAAAAAAAAATCAAAATTAGTTATAACCAAACATTATAATTTTTAAACATTTTTTTTTTACATTTTTATTTTATTTTTTTTTATATTATTTTTTATTTTTATTTTTTATTTTTACATACTGTAACCCTAGCAGTACAGTGTCACCATGGTGACACTGTACTACTTGTGGGGGGTGATGAAGATTTTTTTTTTTTTTTTTTTACACTGATTGCTTTTACACCCATATAGGATGTAAAAAGCAATCATTTCTCTTTCTCTCTGTCTGCATTCTTGCAGTCATTGAGAAATACTGAGTGAGCTGTGATTGGTCACAGCTTGTCACATGGTACAAGGCTGTTGTGAATAGCCTTGTACCATGTGACCTCTGTGATCATTCACAGATTTCACACATAGTAAGCAATGATGTCACAAGTGACATCTTGCTTACTACTTTGCATGTGATCACTGATTCGCCAATCAGTGATCACATGACCGGGACCTCGTACAGAGGTCCCGTCCGACGATCGGTGTTTCACTGTGTCCGGAGGACACAGCGGACACCGGATCGCGGTGGTGCGCGCTCCTAGGGAGCGCGCACAGCTAGAAAAGGCGGGTGCCGTTTAGGAACGGCAACCCGACCTTGGACTGCCACCGCCCTGCCGTTTATAAACAGCAGGCGGACGGCAAGAGGTTTAAAGAGTTACTAAACCCAGGACCCTGCATTCACTATATCTAGTCTCCCACACTACACAGAAAATGTAAATGCAATTATTTTGGTAATTATAAACTGCTAAATACCTTTTTTCATCAGCAGTATATAGCAGTCTTGTGACTTCTATCAGTGCCCGGCTGAGTACTGGTTAAAGCTTGTATAAGGAGTTTTCACTCTCCTCTGACTGTCCTATGAGGTTGCATGACCCCTGACCCTCTGTCTGGACAGTGCTGATTGGCCCTGTGCCAATCACATGCACTCTCCCAAAAAAAAACCTCTCTAGCAATACACACCAAACTGAGCATGTGCAGAGTGACTCCTAGGGCTATACTATCAGCAGATGGACTAGGGACTGTGAAGGAAGGGGAGTATCAGATAATACAGGATCAAACAGGCTTTTTACACAATGCAGAGGATTAACCCCTTAGGTTCCACAGTGAGTATAACAAGCATGCTTTACTGCATATACAGACTGATTTACTGTTGTGGGTTTAATAACACTTTACAGCAATAGTAAACCACACTTGCAAGGTCATAATTTGCTAGTATGCATCGTTTGCAAGCTCCGGAAGTCTGACTGGCTGACTGATGATCTCTTAGATTGTAAGCTCCAAGGATCAGGCCCTCCTAACCCTCTTGTATTGAACTGTACTGTTGCTATATTGTCTCCCTTGTATTGTAAAGCGCTGAGCAAACTTTTGGCGCTATATAAATTCTGTATAATAATAATAATAATAATGTCACTACATGCGCATGGGAGTCTCGGGCCATGGCACAGTGATCTGAAGGAATGGCACTGCTATGTCGGTCTTCCAGAGCGCATGCGCAGGCTGTCAAAAGGAGCACATATCTCCTAAATGGGGCACGTTTAGGAGATATTCATTTTACCTACAAGTAAGCCTTATTATAAGCTTACCTGTTGGTAAAAATAAAAATCCGGAGTTTATTATCACTTTAACCTCCTTAGCGGTATTCCTGAGTGTAGCTCGGGGTAAAATTTCAATACCAAGAGCGGTAACCCCGAGCTACACTCGGGCTTACCATGCGGCGTTGCTCAAGGGCTTGGGCTTACCATGCGGCGTTGCTCCTGCAGCACTTACCTTGTCCTTCGCTCCCACGATGTGTCCCCTGCAGCGTCCCCAGCCATCTCCTTCAGCCGATGCCGGCATCCGACTTCCGTGTTCCGGTCCCTGTGACGTCGGGACGTACGGGCGCCAGAACCGGCGGGAAATTTGAAATTTTTAAAAAATGTCATTTTTGCTGTCATTGCTGTTTCAATGCATTTCACATACATTTTGTCCCTAGTGCTTTGTCCTGCGCCCTGCCTGCATTTTGACTGTTCTTTCTGCCTGGAAACTTAGAAAAGTCCATGGCGTCCAAAAAGCGTCCCTTTAGGTCAAAAGCGGTTTTAGACCGGCTAGAGAACAGCGATAGTAAATCAGAACCACTTGCAGAATTTAGTGATAATGATTTGTGGGGGAAATTCGTCATCAGACACTGAAAACGATATTGTGACTTTGCTCAGCGATGTGCGAACTTGCCTCTGTATTTCAAATTTCAGTGTTTTTGGTTTGATTATATTATTGAATCAAATTTATTATTATTATATTATTATTTTTCATGATTATTTATTAAATTATAATTTATGATTTCGTGTTTCAAGTTTTATCATACCCGGGATGTTTACTAGACTCTTGTTCGGACAGATTTCAGTGAGTTATTCCTAAAAATTACAGCCTACAATAAAAAAATACATATTTCCATGCAAAAAAATGGTACCGCTTTCAGCACAAAAAATCGGAAAGAATCATACCGCCGAGGAGGTTAAGTGTAGTTAGGGTTTGACTGGAATTCACCTTTAGGCTCTGCCAACTCTGCAGCCTGCTCTGTTTTAGTCATTTTCTGTGTAGTTACTGTAAGGGGAATGTGGAAGAGTGTTTTGTCATTTACAGTGATGTTCTTAGATGCTGAGAGATGACATATTATTTCTCCAGGACTACATGTGTAAAATTAACCCCCCCAAAAAAGTTTTATTGCAGATGCTATATATGTATAGGAAATGACTCTTGAAGCATTTTTTACTTTTGTATGCTCCGACAGCTAATAATATATCTTTTCTTTTCAAATAAATGAAGGTAAATTACTGCAAGTTAATACTGGTGCCAAAGAACAGTTATTTTTTGAAGCTCCAAGAGGAAAAAGATACGCAATTAAATCTGCAGAGGTAGTTATTCTCCTTTGCTGTCTCATGAGAATTGTTGCTAAAGCTGACCGTGCCCAGGCCGATAGGTAGGCAATTTATGGAAAAGATCTGAGAACTCTCTTATTTGATACATTTGATATAAAATAATTAAACTGCGCAAATACCCCTTCCTAATTGTGTATAAAGCAGGAAACACACCAAGAGGATATCCCCTCTAAATCACACATTAAATGAAAAACTTGTGTTGCGCTAGGTGAAATATAAATACCTCAAAAAATGGATAAATAAATATACAAATAATGTATGTCCAATAAAGGATAAACAAGAAAGTGCTCAAGAGTGCACTCTGATGAAAAATCTTCATTCCAACATAACCACCAACGTGATTTTGCACCACCGTGATATCAAATTGGAGGCTTACCAGATCCTTTGAACTCTTAATTATAGGGGGTCAATACACAGCCAATATATTTAATCCTGTCCAGGCTCATGTGTCTCAGATCAGATCACGTGCATCACCTGATGCTCCTCCTGATGTTATGGGGTCAACATATACTCATATGAAAATAAAGAGGTGCCTCTCCTAGTGCAGTAAATTAAGGCTAATTTATTTAGAAGAACAAAAATGCACTTACAAACTTAAAAACATCAATCAGCAGAAACCAGCTAAAATGGCAATCCTTACGCGATGATGTTCAGAAGGGAGGCTCCACCCGACGTGTTTCGTCATACCCAGACGTCTTCCAGGGCTTCATCATTCATCACAGAAAAAAGTTAACTGTTCTATACACTTTATAAAGACTGTTTTATTTATGTTTATTTAATGTATTTATTTTGTGGCAAGTGTTCACTCTTGAGTACTTTCTTGTTTATTCTTTATTGGACATGCATTATTTGTGTATTATTTATTTATTTATTTGATACATTTGCAGGTAGCTTAATGCTGCTGTTTTTTTTTTTTTACAATTCTAGACACAGAGAATGCACATTTTCCAGTAATGCCAACAGCAGATTCTTGGAGTTGCCCTTAGCCTAGTGGCAGAAATATTATTAAATCTGATCTGCCCATGTGGTGCCAGCTTTGTTAACTCTCTTACCCAAAATGAAAGCTGGCCATACATTAAGTACATTTTAGCCAGTTCCTGAGGAACCAAATACAGTTTGAGCAGCGGTTGGCTATAAGAGCTGCATTTTGGATGTATTGACCTGCATTTGGCAAAACCAAGTCATTACAATCTTTTCCAAAACACAATATTGTGCAGTGTGCCTAAAATGCATGGCATATTAGAGAGGACCTTCACACCCCCCCTCCATTTTTTTCCCTATAATCCTATAATAATTACTGGGTGATTTTGTCTGCACTGTTTGGATCCTCACCCACCCACCAAACTTCAGAGTTGTCCCACTGACATCCTTCTGTAAACACATGCTGCTCGGTCTCATGTTGCCATCGTGTGACGTCATCGAGAGGCCCGACGGCTCTTCCGAGTTCAGCTGGAAGAGGCTCATGATGAAGCACTGCTAGTCCTGCGCCCCCCCCATTTACTAAATGAAAAACTAAGGCCTACCCTGCGGGCACTGTGCACGTCATTCGCTTATGTTGTCGATGGAGGTAGTGGGGGGGGGGGGAGGTGGCAAGGTTGCACTGTTTGTTTAAAATAAAAAACATTAAAAAAAATACTGCACTCTTCATATAGAGGAGAGGAAGAAACTATATGTAGAGGGTAAAGATCCGCTTTAATACATGAATTATTTTGTAAATGAAGGCTAAAAGTTTTAATCTCAAACTCTTTGATAAGTTAGTCCCACACTGAAAAGATCATAAACTCACCTGGGATCATTAGGACGCTCATTTGACTATTAGAAAAAAGTATTGGAGTTTGTTTACGCGAAGTGTGACCAGTTCTGAAGCCAGATAAATTCTATTTTTAAAGTACAAAGCTATAAGTATAAAATATTCCTTGTCTTAAAAGGTACTAAGTTAGCAAATTGTAACTGTCATTTCTTTTTGCCTTGATTCTGTGATCCATATACTGTTTTCATTTCCCCTATCTAACCATATGCTACCCTGTACAGATTGAACGAATAGAGTGGCACACATGGACTTGCGTCCTCGGTCCTACATGTGAAGGGATCTGGCCGGCGCACAGTGATGTGACAGATGTGAACTCAGCATCTCTTACCAAAGACAGAAAATCTTTAGCTACTGGGGATGATTTTGGATTTGTGAAATTGTTTTCCTACCCAGTAAAGGTGGGTATACCCTTCATTGTTCTCATGCATTTTCCATAAATTACGAAGTCTTTGCAACAAAAGAGTGCAGTGGAAAAAGATGATGTGTAAAGCCACTAAAAATAAACAGAAAACGCCCACACTCACCATATGCCAACCAATTTAACCAGCAAAAGGGCCACAAAGTGTTAACCAACCTTGCAGAATTGTATGAAAATACATTGCACCACACTCCAATATCACCCTATATAAATCAATTCAGCGTATGTGTGAATGAATCAGAACTGTCAGAGAAAGTTTGCACTCATGTGTAGCCTCCCTGGCGGTATTCCCGAGTGTAGCTCGGGGTAAAGTTTCAGTACCACAAGCGGTAACCCCGAGCTACACTCAGGCTTACCATGCGGCGCTGCTCAGGGATCTGTTCCTCACTTACCTTGTCCTGCGCTCCCGCGACGTCCCTCCTGCAGTGTCCCCTGTAATGTCCTCCGGCCGATGCCGGCATCTGTCACCTGGGTTCCGTCCCCTGTGACGTCGGGACGTATGGGGATGGAACGGCGGGAAATTTGAAAATGACAAAAAGTGACATTCACTAAAATCACATAGTATAACATTCCTGTATCAAACCATTTCACATACATTTTGTCCCAAGTGCTTTGTCCGGCGCCCTGCCTGCATTTTTACTGTTCTTTCTGCCTGGAAACTGAGAAACGTCCATGGCGTCCAAAAAGCGTCCCTTTACGTCAAAATCGGTTTTAGACCGGCTAGAGAACAGCGATAGTAAATCAGAACTACTTGCAGAATTGAGTGATAATGATTCGTGGGGGAAATTCGTCATCAGACACTGAAAACAATTTTACAAATTTGCTCAGTGATGTGCGAACTTGGCGCTATATTTCAAATTTCAGTGTTTTTGGTTTGATTATATTATTGAATTAAATGTATTATTATTATTTTTTATGATTATTTATTAAATTATAATTTATGATTTCGTGTTTCAAATTTTATCATACCCGGGATGTTTACTAGACTCTTGTTCGGACAGATTTCATTGAGTTATTCCTAAAAATTACAGGCCTACAATAAAAAAAATACATATTTCCATGCAAAATGTACCGCTTTGAGCACAGAAATATGGACATAATCAGACCGCTAGGGAGGTTAAGGCCCCACTCACACTTGGCGATATAGAATTGCATGGCAGTCGCTGCAAAAATGCGTGATGTGCATTTGGGTGCCATTCAATTTAACTGGCACCCCAAACGTGGTGCAATATTGCTGCTAATGTCGCACAACAAAATTGCGATGGGATCGCAGCCTTTAAAAATCATGTGAAGCTTGTTGCCCAAAAAGGATCCGGAGCTTCCCTATGTGCGACAAGCACACATAGGGAAGCTCATTGAAGTATACAGTCTGCCCTATGCATGACACGCAGAATTTCATTAAAATCGCCTACACAAAATCACAAGCTGGAACGCAAGTTCCTGCTATGCAAAGCCTAAAGCCAGTAGCCCATATCCCCATTCAAAAATTTTGAGCTGTTTCATAAGTGAAAGATGACTTCTGATAGGTTACTTTGGGGCTAGTTTATAAGGAGAGAACACTGCTACCTGCACTAATATACACCACTAGGTTGCATGAATGCAGGCTTAACACATCACAGAGAGCTCCATGAATGGAAAAGAGCTGGTCATTGGATTTTGACCCCCCCCCCCCCATTCATAAGAGTCCAAAAGCCAGCAGAGCACCAAGCACATTTCTAAAGCATATTGTCGTTCTTCATAAATGTGCAACATTTTATTCTACCTAGAAGTACAGCCAAAGCAGTTTATTCTGTACTCCTGTGACCCGTTTTCAGCTCACAGTGGGCTTCAACCCACTGTCAACTGATGACACTCAGCCGGTCCAGACTGGGGAAAGATCCTGACTTTCCCAGAGTCTGGAGTGGCACCTGGCTCAGCCTCTCAGTGGGCCGCTGAGAGCCTGAGCCAGCCGCTCCCACCCGCTCCACAGCCCAGTGCTCCAGTGAGCGCAGAGCAGACAGCAATGACTGACGGCAGCTCAGAGCGTTCATGTGGTCGCTGAGTTCTCACACTTAGAGCTGGCGGAGGACAGATGCAACATGGAACTGATGCTGCATCCACCTAAATATTTATTTATTTATTATAGGTACTTGTATAGCGCCATCAATTACGTAGCGCTTTACATATATATTGTACATTCACATCAGTCCCTAACCCTCAAGGGGCGTACAATCTAAGGTCCCAAACTCACATTCATACATACACATACTAGGGACAATTTAGACAGCAGCCAATTAACCTACCAACATACTAGGGCCAATTTAGACAGCAGTCAATTAACCTACCAACATACTAGGGCCAATTTAGACAGCAGCCAATTAACCTACCAACATGCTAGGGCCAATTTAGACAGCAGCCAATTAACCTACCAGCATGTCTTTTGGGGTGTGGGAGGAAACCGGAGTACCCAGAGGAAACCCACACAGGCACAGGGAGAACATGCAAACACCAGGCAGATGGTGCCGTGGTTAGGATTTGAACCAATGACCCTAGTAATGCCAAGTGGAAGTGCTAACCATTTAGCCACTGTACTGATTTAAAAAAAAAAAAATCCCATACTTCTCTTTTAAGCAACAGTATGGTCATGGTATTGTACATCTTGGTAGATTTATCATTGCCCAAAAGTAAGGACAAGTCACAAAAAAAAAAAACGCTCCCTTTGCATGACTTCATTAGGTTTGTGTCTGAATTTTCAGGGTCGTGATGCAAGGTTCAAAAAGTATGTTGGCCACAGTGCACACGTGACCAATGTCAGATGGTTGTATGATGATTCCACCCTGCTGACTGTCGGGGGAGCAGATACAGCACTGATGATCTGGACGCGAGAGGCTTTTGGAAATCTAGAGAGCAAACCTGTGGACAGCGAAGAGTCAGACACTGATGCTGAAGAGGATGGAGGTAGGAACAAGCAATACTGATAATCAAACCAGCAAATTTCCTTTTTCATAGGGTTTATCGAAACTCCCAGGGGATATGCCAGACCGTATATTATAATTTTTAGCACCAAAATACATATTATGCTCTTCTTTACAGATTATATACTATAGAGTACACTAAAAAAACTTCATATAAATCACAGCCCTGATGTTCCAGTACATCCAAAGGCTAGTTTGGAATCCATGACTTTAAACTTCAGAGGTGCCTGCACACATGGCCACTCTGAAGAGATATTTGACAGTTTTAAAGCCCAGGAAGCCTTTTTATGCAAACAGCTGGTAAGCCTTAAGATGGGACAGGGCTAGGCATTTCTTTTTTTCTTTTTTTTCCCATCAAAATAAGTTTATTGAACAAGAATAAAGTATACAGAATCCAAAAGGTTTTTCTAAATACTAGAACTGCTTGGTCTTTAGAGATTCTGCTGAACTCTTCAAGGGATCTTGACTGTGTTTTGGCTCCTTTTGGTACCAGCTTTGCATGGTTACTTGCAGTTTAGGCAGTGGCCTAGCACGAGCGGGGCCACGGGGTGGTTGCCTATGGTGCAAAATGTATTACTTCCCTTTATTGATTTATGGCGGCTTGAACATGGTAATTTGGTCATCTCTGGACAGGTGGCGAAGATCTGGCACAAGGCGATGATGGAGGAGATTGTCAGATACAGTTAAGTCCATATATATTTGGACACAGGCACGATTTTCATACTTTTTCATACTGTATGCCACCAGAATAAATTAAAATGAAACAATCCAAATGAATTTGAAGTGCAGACTTTCAGCTTTAATTCAAGGGGTTGAATGAACATAAATATCAAGTACAAATTTTAGGAACTGCAACCATTTTTATACACAGTCCCTCCATTTTCAGGGGCTCAAATGTAATTGGACAAATTAATATAATCATAAATAAAATGTTCATTTTTAATATTTTGTTGAGATTCCTTTACTGGCAATGACTGCCTGAAGTCTGGAAACCATGGACATTACCAAAGACTGGGTTTCCTCTTTTCTGATGCTTTGTCAGATTCTAACTGCAGCTGTCTTCAGTTGTTCTTTGTTTGTGGGTCTTTCTGCCTTAGTTTTGCCTTCACCAAGTGAAATGCATGCTCAATTGGGTTGAGATCAGGTGATTGACTTGGCCATTGCAGGACATTCCACTTTTTTTCTTTCAAAAGCTCCTGGGTTGCTTTTGCAGTGTGTTTTGGATCATTGTCCATCTGTATTGTGAAACGCCGTCCAATCAACTTTTCTGCATTTGGCTTAATTTGGGCTGACAGTATACCTGTAAACACTGCAGCATTCATCCAGCTGCTTCTGTCTTCTGTCACATCATCAATAAACACCAATGAGCCAGTGCCACTGGAAGCCATGCATGCCCATGCCATCATACTGCCTCCACCATGTTTTACAGATGACGTTGTGTGCTTTGGATCATGAGCTGTTCCAAGCCTTTTCCACACTTTTTTCTTCCTGTCACTCTGGTACAGATTAATCTTAGTTTCATCCATCCAAAGAATGCTTTTCCAGAACTGGTCTGGCTTTTGTTGATATTTTCTGGCAAAGTCTAATCTGGCTTTTCTATTCTTCAGGATTATGAATGGTTTGCACCTTGTGGTGAACCCTCTGTATTTGCTCTCGTGAAGTCTTCCCTTGATTGTAGACTTTGACAATGATACACCCACCTCCTGGAGAGTGTCCTTCACTTGTATGGATGTTGTGAATGGGTTTTTCTCTACCATAGAGAGGATCCTGCAGTCATCCACCACTGTTGTTTTCCATGGACATCCATGCCTTTTTATATTGCTGAGCTCACCAGTGCATTCTTCTTTCCTCAGAATGTACCAAACTGTTGATTTGGCCACTCCTAATGTTGCTGCTATCTCTCTGATGGATTTGTTTTGTTTTTGAAGCCTTACAATGGCCTGTTTTACTTGCATGGACAGCTCCTTTGAACTCATGATGTAGGTTCACAGCAGTATATTCCAAATGCAAATACCACACTTAGAATCAACTCCAGACCTTTTACCTGCTTAATTGATGAGGAAATAATGAAGGAGTAGCCCACACCTGGCCATGAAACAGGCCAATTATTTTTGGTCCCTTGAAAAAAGGGGGATGGCTACTCTTAAGAGCTGTAATTCTTAAACCCTTCCTCCAATTTGGATGTACATACCCTCAAATTAAACCTGAGAGTGTGCACTTTCAGCCCATATCCATTATATAGCTATAGCTTGAATATGTTTTGGTAAATACCTGAAAAATCTAACATTGTGCCTGTGTCTAAATATATATTGACCTAACTGTACGTGTCCTGAGAATGAGGAAGTAATGGAGAGGGAGGAGCCGCTGCTTTCACCTTTCTGATCAACTCCTGCACCCTCCAGCTGACTGCCTGTACTGCACTGTGTCTGGCACATGTCAGGATCTAGATAGAGAATTCCTTGGTGTCACTGTACCAAATCCAAATCTTTCTTTCATTTATATACTGTACTTCTCAGTCAATGCGGACTAGCTACATCTTGTATAATCTGGTAGAAGGGGCTTAGGGAGTGCTAATGGTCCACGGGATAGGGGGCAAAATACTTGCCTTAACCCAGGTCCTGGCAACCAACACCACACCGCTGAGTTTAGAGGTGTAAAGCGTAAAAAGTGTTTCAGATACCAAATCAGGTCTAGAATCACATTTGTAATCTGTATAATTTACAGTTTTCCATTGCATACTCATGGTATGAAGTTACTATCTTTAGTCAATATCTTATTACTTAAAGATTTTATTTTTTACTTTTATGCCTTACTTGATGATCTACATGTATATTGGATTTAAAACGAGAACTTTTTTTTATCACTTCTCTACCTAGGTTATGACAGTGATGTGGCGAGAGAGAAAGCTATGATTATACCACTAAAATTTATGCTGTTAGTATCCGAGAAATGGAAGGAACAAAGCCCCACCATCAGATAAAAGAAGCTTCAGTGGAGGAAAGGTACATTCCAGTGCTGATACAAGGTGTGGGTGATCCCTGTATCACACACAAATAAAACTCTTAAAAGATAATTCTGTTTAATATTACATTTTACTGTTGGGTAAAATTTGGTGATTGGTTAAACATTGCAGGTTTTTAGTGGTGAGATCTACCATAATTAGGTCACATTCCATCTTTTCAACCATTGCCATTTTGCTGTTTTCTAATTCGTGTAGAACCCAGAAGTCAAGCCAACCCTATGAGTTTATCTTCAACTGAATACAAAATATATACAGTGGAGGTCTACGTCCATCTTTAGTACAGCAACAATTAAGAGGATGGTGTTCACCTTCCAGCTGTTTGATCTCATCACCAAAATCCTACACCAGGGTTAGACCTGATTGTGTCTTTTAAGACACCTAAAGTTGGTACACACGTGCTGAATATTGAACGGTCTTGGCCAGTGTGTACAGCAGCCTCTGACAGAAGCCAGCTTAATGTCCAGCTTATGTCGTACAGACATGCTGGAAAAGTAGCAGACGATCAGCATCCAATCAGAGCTTGCAGCCAATGGCTGCGAGCAATGACTGGTGTGCTCTGGCAGGGGTGGTGCCCCCGGTCAGAATACAATAACTCAGTTGGGAGATCGCTGTACTTCCATTGCATAGTTAGTACAGTGAGCTCCTCGGTTTTTTTCGTTCAGCTGCTGGGTTAAATTAAAAGAAACTACCTGTGTGTACCAGGCTTTAGTTATACTCAACACTGAACTTTTAATACTTGGTGGAATTATCTTTTAAGAAGGATGAGATTTTGAAATTATTATACTTGAATGAAATCAGTTACCTAGCCCTTCTCAGACACTAAACACAAGTGAATTGTCACCATGTATACATAAAAGAATACATTGTTATGCATTTTTACAGAAAGGTGTCTGAATTTATTATATTTTAAATCATTAAGGTTGTTGAGAATATGTGTTTGTAGTTGAAAATGGTTACATACAAAACGTATTAACCGCATTGTGGAAGACAAAGATTCCCGCGATAACAGACTGGCACATTTTATTGACATGACCATAAACATCATCAATAACCGTACATCTAAAAATGACACTCGAGATTAAGCTGTGCTGAGTTTTATTGCTTATGTCAGATTAGATGTAGTTGAGATCTTGATAATGTCTCCCAGCTGAATGGAGGGAGTACAGTTCATGATCATTCAGAAACCACCCATTGACCATTTCACGCTAGCTTTTATCATGTAGGAAGCAGTCCATTCCGAACTATGCCGGCCATAGATGGATCCGTTTTTTGGCCAGTACCTTAAAAATTCAATTATTAAAATTACAAATTAATGAACAAGAGACATTTCTTCAAAGACTGAACAAATCAGGAGTCTTTGTTCATGGAAAGCAAACCACTAATAATAAATGCATTCTTTATGAAGGTGTTTGCACCAAGGTGGATAGTTTTTTTTAGCTTTTACTTTTCATCTCTGAAGCCTCTTGCATCTTGAACTCCATTAGTTGTTCTGCTACTGGGTTTAGTTAGGATAAAGTTGCCTACTTAGAATTGGGCCAACCAACAGTACTGATTTTGGCCGTAGGTGGCCCAGGTTGGCCATCTGACTTACGCCAAGCATCCAGATTGTATGGCGTATATTAGAAGTGGTTAGACTAAGCTCTGATGCAGTCCTTATACAACCATATATCCCATTCAAACCACCCATTATCTCAGCAGGCATCTCTCAGGGGTGGCTGATTTCCCCATGTATGGGCACAGAAGGTGTCAGATAATAAAAGACCACATGATCCTTAAGGTACCCCTAGACACAAGGTTTCTCACTATCCCATATTTGTGGAACTTTCAGTTATCCATGGCCAACTAACCTATGGGGAATATTATTAGACAACAACCAAACTCTTATGTTCCTGCACACATAGTGCTACCCTGATTCTGTGGCTTTCTCCTACCACTGCCCATCCCCTCTCCGTAGAGTTAAACTGGATGGTTGCCAAGCTGAGCATGTAATGCTGTGTGTGGCTGATTGTTTTATACACCTTGGGGAGGTTGGTATATGGTGGCACATCTGCCATCTTCTTATGTGCATGGGCAACTTTAGTAGACCCAAATAGGGGTGGGTGAAAATTCTCATGACATTTTGCATTGCTGCATCCTGTAACTGTCACAGACCAGCAAAAAGATTCTATGCAGTGCTTTGTAATTGGAGCACTTGCAAATATTCCTTTGAATTGGCTAAAGGATTATTCCATCTATGGCTAGCATTGGACTGTTAATGCCTTCCCATAGTGCCTTCATCCTTCTTAAGAAATCCCCCTATTAGCAAAAAAGTATTTTAATCAGTGCAAGTGTCACTCTTGTTATGTCAGTGAAAGATCAATCACAGAAGAAAAGTTGTGTACTCCCTTTCTTCTGTCTCCCTCTATATCTTGTCTTCTTTTCTCTTTTTCTGTCTTCCTCCCCTTTCTTTTTCTGTCCTTTCTATGGGCATTAGGTTCAGATACCAATGTAACCTGCCAAAATCAGGTGATAATTTTGGTGTTTGCGAGTATTTTGACCCCTGCTCATCTCTAATCTCTATGATCATGCAATTTCTGAGAAGGTAAGTATTTTGCATGGATTCACAACTGTGAATCATGTGCTTCCTTGCACGTGGCATCCAAAAAGATGCAAAAGCTTTGAACTCTAGAATGCAATATGACTGCAAGATGTTGCATTTCACCAGTACATGCATATTCACCACCCCCTAAGCTAACCACCAACTCTTCCTCTCTCCATGTTGTTATCTTGTGGCTTTCCTATGCACCAAGCAGGGAATCGTGCATTAAGTCACTGTACTTCCCCAGATATCTGAAATGTTATGTTTGTACAGGGCTAGATCTTTGGATAGCCATTATTTCACCAAAGCCTACCTAAAAATGACTTTCGTGTTGTGTTTGTATATTATTGAACATATTCCAGCAAAGGTTGCTATGGCTAAGATTGTGTTAAAAGGACAAATCTAACATGCACAAATGCAGCTGTATAGCTGCACAGATATATGCATAAATTATCAAAGGTTTTACCCAGACCATTCTTTGTGACACAATTTCAACGGTATGTTGATTTGGTTTGTGGGGGAAGGGGAACAGGGTAGGCGAGCCTGCACATTACATGTTAAATGCCTTTTGACTTACACAGGATCTAGCTCTGTAGAATCAAATGGTCGCCTCTGATGTGCACTGATGGATTGGCTGCTCGGGGGAATGCACAACTATGAAGAAGATATGTAGTCATGGACTTTGTGTGGACACATAGAAGAGAAACTGTGTACCGTTAAAAGAACTTTATTATGTACCATTAAAAATCTATTATACAACATTAAAAATGACTCTTCACATAGGGGTTCACAACATGCAAAGATTCCGATTACAATTCACATGTGATCTCAACGCGTTCTCGGAATCCAACTTCAGGAGCAACATGTGACAGAATCAGTAAACTGGAACCCACTCTTAATCTTTAATAGAGTAATATCAATCAGTAGAATAGACTGGAATTCATAGCATGTGCATGTTGCCAATAGAGGTGCAAATGAGTAGACCAAGATGAAGCCACTGCCTCTCGGGTGGGAAATTCAAGTACATTCAATAAACAGCCCATGGTCTTGTATACATCATCTTAAAATAGAAGTACCAACTTCCCAATGGGGAACCATCCAGACGCAATGTAAGTAAGTCATTGTAAAGAAACAGGCTGGATACAGGCTACAGACTGGATTGATGTGAACTGAGCTTGTTTCTAAGATCAAGAGCTCCCTCTTTGGAATATATGGTCCTTGACTACCATGCTGTCTTTATGGTGACTTACTTTCTATAAGAAGGATTCCCGAAACTCATTGAGTCCACATGTGAAATGTAATTGGAATGTTGTGTTGCATGTTGTGTTTTTAATGGTACATATAAAGTTGTTTTTACGGTACTCAGTTTCTCTTCTATATGTCCACACAAAGTCCATGACTACATATTCTGTTCATAGTTGTACATGATTTGCTGGGATGTGGTTTATTTACTATAGCTGGTTCACTCAGAATCTCGTTCACCTGTGCATGGTAGCCAATCAGCTTCTAACCTCAGCTTGTTCAATTAAGCTTTAGCAATAAAAGCTATAAGCTGATTGGTTTCCATGCAGACGTTCAAGAGATTCTGAGTGAACTTTACTTAAGTAAATAAACTCCATAGTCTGGGTTTCTCTCCTGCTATAGATCCTCAGGGGTATGATGTGATCTCATAGGGTTGTCTAGTATTCCAAAAACTCAAATCATTTTTCTTGGTAAGTGTATGTGCATCTAAAAACCTGAACTATTAGAATTATGTTTAGGGAAAGGACCCTTAGCCAATGTTAAGTCGACTGTAAAGAGGAACACTCTGGCTTCAGTACTTTCTGAGTCTCTGGCTTGAAACAAACATCCAGATTTAAAAATGAGAGTAAACTCAGAGATACTGATCTGCATACTTATTTCAGGCCAATGTCTTAGAAATTATTTATTCCAATGGACATCCAGGCAACTAGCATTGTTAAAAGTAGAGGTCACCACAGACATCCTCCCTTTCTTTCAGTATGGGTTTCCTTTAAAGACTGCTACAAATTGCTGTGTACAATTTTAATTTAAGGTAGACCAATACTTAAACAATTAACCTCCTGATTATCTTGCCTCCCAAACTTATTATTAATACAGAAGTCTCTTTCCTATAGAAAATTGTGTTGGCCATGTTACCAAATGTAAGAAGCAAACTAGATACTAAATGCTGACTTGAGTAGAGTCTGCAAATCAGCAGCTTTGCCTAAACTTTGATCCTCGCCTACCAATATAATGTGGTCAGAGGTCCAGTATCTAGGCACATGGCCAACACTACAGGACGCCTGACATACTTGTTTCTGCAGAAAAGAAAATATGTCAGCACCTCCTCTATCACTTTTAGGGCTCATTTACACTTGCTACAACTTAAACATACATTAGAGCGCCTACCACTTCAACATGCTTTTTTGATGCTTCGGTGATGCTTCACTGATACTTTTTGGAAGCTTTAATGAAGCTTGGCAGATGCCCTGTGTGTGTGTTGATTTTCTATCTGTTTTAAAGGGGCCCAGTAGTACCCCCACTCAGCAGATCCCCAGCTACTTAGCACCCCTGTTCAGTATTGATGCCCTTGCTCAGCAAATCCCCTGCTTAGTTGTACTCCCAGCTTCGTTGATCCCCCAATCACTAGTAATCCCCAGCTGTGCTGACCCTCTATTTTGCGACCCTCCTCTCTCTCTATCTGGTCCCCGCTCACCTCCCACTATATTGCTCCCATACTGCGCACAACATGTGACTTTGCTAGATTCTCCTGCTCTGGTCTGCCAGCTCTACTGATCCTCTGCTGCTGCTCAGTCCTCTCTCTTAGGTCCCCACGCACCTTCCGCTATAGCATTCCCATGTTGCACACCATGTGTGCCATCTGCTAGTTGATCCACTCTAGTTGGACCCCGCTCACCTTCCTGCTGGTCTATGCTGCACACCAGATGTGACATCTGCACCGGACACTTCCAGAATACATACTTGAACTGTCATAGACTTCTATGGAGGCTTTGAAGACGCTTTGAAGCACCGTAAAAGAGACATGGGATATCATTTCTTAATCAAAGCAAACACAATATGTAAACAGGACTGTAAGCTTACTATTTTATTTAGTGCCAGGGGCTTTGATTGGCATTCAGAGTGCTTTAAAAAAGCGTGTCAAGTGCCACTTTTTGTAGCAAATGTAATCGAGCCCTTAAAAAGCAACTGAACTCTTGAAGTTGTGCCCAAGAAAAGGCAAGCAGAAGGCAATGAAATAGTCACCTGTATTGTCTCTAGGCACCATACAGTTGGTCTTTTCCCGATTTTTGGGCTTACCATGTTTTGTTCAGCACAGTGTGTCTGTGTAGAGGTGGCCATTTGGTAAAGGTTTTGCTTTGCTTTCTTACGTCAGAGCCTCCAGCAAGAAGAACAGTGTGCAGCCCAGTAGTGACATCACTAATTCTCTCTTCATATCCCCTAGGCAGTGCCTAGGCACACTCACATGCTCAGCTGTTTTTCATTAGGAATTCCAGAAGCAGGTCAAATGCAGGACAAAAGGAAGCCAACTGCAGGTCACATACATCTATTACTGAATTCTGAAAGATCTATGAAGTTCCTAAAATTGATTTCAAACCAGTACCATTGACACAAGCCCAAAGCCCAACACAGGGTCTAAAAGTTACTGGACATGCAATTCATTTTTTTCCGAATACCGTATAAATTCAGACTAATTTTTGGTTATATGAAATAGTAACAAATTTCACTGAAATTCGACTAGTTTTGTTTCGTATATTTGTGTTCTAATGAATTCTTAATTTTCAAAACTGAATTTTCAGAATAGCTGGTTGCTAAGGAGGGGTACAGCAAGCTGGCTAGTGCGTCCTTAAGAACTTATCAGCTGTCAACAGGGTTCCCTGCTGACAGCTGAATGTAAAAAAAAACAATTCCCGGCAATTAAAGATTCTGGGGAAAAAATTTTCAAAAAGGGTGTGAGTTCTCCCAAAATCTATACCAGACCCTTATCCAAGCATGCAGCCCGGCAGGCCAGGAAAAGGAAGAGAGACGAGCATCCCCCCTACTCCTTCTAAACCATACCAGATCACATGCCCTCAGCATAAGGGGGATGCTTTGGGGTAGGGGGATAATCCCCCCAAAGCACCATGTCCCCATGTTGATGAGGACAAGGGCCTTTTCTCCACAACCCTGGCCCAATGGTTGTGGGGGTGCAAGGGGTGACTTATCGGAATCTGGAAGCCTTCTTCAACAAGGGCACCCCTAGATCATGGCCCACCATGTGAATGAGTAGGGGTATATAGTACCCCTACTCATTCACCAAAAAAGTGTTAAAAGTGAGTAAAAACACAACAGTTTTTGACAAGTTCTGTATCAAATAAATAAATAAATAAATGCCCCCCTAAATAGGTCCAATGTCAATCACAATAAACGCCAGCCGCCAACCCGAAAAAAAAAAAGCTCTGCACCCGACGAAGGCACCGGTAGTCTGACAGCTCCACCATATGACAGTTCTTAAATAACTAAGGGTTAGGGCCACCTAATGACATCACCAGGTGACCCTGCCCCCTTGTGACGTCACCAACTCAGCATGCCCCACGGCCAGAATGCTGGCTCGCAACCAGCCATTCTTCGAATTTGGATAGGTCGATCAGTTTTTGACCGATTCGAATTCTACAGTAATTGTTAAAAAAATTTAAAATTCGTTAGAAAAATGAATAAATGAAATGAAACGAAATAAATTCAGAAAACGAATTATGAAACAAAATTAGTAACATAACAAATATACCCAAAACAAAGCTAAACAAATTTTCCATTCTTGCACATACAGGTAATACAGTGCCCTCCAAAGCCGCATGTACCATCTTCACCTGGTCTTTCTTCTGGGTTTGCAGGCTTCGGCAGTATGAATGCTCCGAGCCGTGATGATGTCACCCCCGTCCGCCCGTAGCTGTGTCACGGAGCTCTGAAGGTCCGGCACACTGTGCCATCCCATCAGAGCGCATGCACCAGTGACATTACTGGCTGCATGTTGTG